TTGGAACACCCTAATGACTAAGCCCACGTGGAAAATTCGCCTAAGATGTTTATCATTTGTAATAAATGTCCTCTAAAAAGCCGATTCCTGGCTTTTTAAAATGTGCTTTTTAATTTGGAGTCGTGTAAAATTATTGTATTTGTGTATCAGACTTTACCCTATTTTATTAAAGGTAGTGATAAGTCATTTGTCTTGTTATAAAATTATTGCACTTGTGTGTTAGACTTTACCCTACTTTGTTAAAGGTAGAGGTGTGTCATTTATCTTATTGAAAATTATTGTCCTTGTGTCAATTGTATCATTATGATGAGTGATATGCATGAAGGATCTCCTCTTCTATATAAGGCGCTTTCTTCTTTCATTGTTAATCATCTCCCATTTGATTATTAAATAAAGGCCTGATTTTATCTCCATAAATTTCTAAAACCCTTTTCTCATTCTTCCATAGTCTTGACAACTGTGATAATACCAAGATAAATAATAAGAACAAGATTTGAGTAATATCAAAAGTATGCTCTGTAGTTGCCTCTTTGAGAATCCTCTACATTAGAAAAATGTCACTACTGATTAAAAGATCTGATATGGAGGTATGGTGATCCGTGTAATATCAAAAGTCTCAGGCCCTGTGTTGTTGTCCTAGAGTGGGTTGTTAAGGGCTAGAATACCGAGTATTACTCAAGGTTACCATACCCCTACTCTATTGGTATCAAAACCATGTTGTTATCTTGATCTTACTATCTCTGATTGAGATTATTCAGTTTGAAAGAAACTAGGAAAAAACATCTTCTTAATCATGTCTACTGAAAAACCAATGCTTCTAAAATTGACTCTCTTTACGAAATATCTTATCTTCCTCATTCTGAAAAAAGTTCCCGTCACAAATTTACCTCTTGTAAATCCTTTCTTCCATATAATAAACCCTTCACTCCTTTACCAAAACTGCCCAAAGCCTTATTTTACCAACAAAATCCCAAATAAAAGAATACGTCCAAACATCAAAATTTAACCAACATCTTTTACTTGCCATTGAACAAGAGCAGTTTGTCACCTTGGGTCTACTATCCCATCTTTCGAAAGTACGGTTATCTGAGAGTTTAACCCATATTCATTTGAAGCCATAAGAATCGCGCTTCTCTCCATGTAAGAAATGGGCTCCCGACAGTTTCTAGAATTGCTCTTCTAGATACATGATTTGCTGATTATCAACATGCATGTATCGGCACTATTGAAACTACACTTAATGTAGGAGTTGTACTAGTTATTATGTTTTCGAATTTTAACATGCCAATAGCAGATCCACTGTTATTATTAGCTTTAGAAATTCAGGTCCAAATTGTTGGAACAGTACCAACTGCAGTAACATATGGTGCAACTCTTCATTACCAGATGGCTTACAGAAAAACAGAATCATTCTCTTGATTTTACCACTTACCTACTTATCCAACTGGAAACAGACCAGCTAAGCTATACATATGTCCTCAGATAAATTCTCAGATCTGAGCTCGTTAAGTTAATCCCACAAACATGGATGACTAGCCATCAACAACATCCCCAAACGTTAAATCAACCCATCATTTTAGATGAAGATCAAACGGTGAAGTTGAAATCATGTTCAAAAAGGAATCGTCGACTAAGAAGCCTCCTTGTTTCTCAATATAATTTACCTTCTCCAATGGGGAAATTCCTATCGATGGATTTGATACTAGTGTCAGGCCTATTTATTGTAGATATGATGATTCAGGACATGTTTATTGGGATGTGTGCTTATGTTTGAAATATATGGATGATAAAGATGATTTATTTGAAAACTGTCCTATTAGAAATAGAAAAAAGAAGAAGAAGAGTAGCTAACAAAAGTTGCATGATGTCTATGAAAATAAATCTGGAGAAAAATTTGTTAAGGGAACCTTCTATAAAATTTGACTATTATGTCAAATATACTCCACCTCCAATAAATGATAAACCCATTATTCCTGTTGGTTGGGATGGTGATGATGATTGTAACCAGCTACATAAAAATGGGACTATGATAATAGCCCACCTCCATCTCCACAAATAGCTATGCCTGTGGCTATGTTTCATCTGCCACAGCAAAAAGATTTTCCTCCACTTACCTCTTTTGAAAAAAAGAAGTCTATTCACACATGAAAAATCATGATTCCCACATCTAGAAAACCAGATGTTTCAATTGAATAGATTTCAGCAGCAGAAGTAGTTTTGAACTAACAGTCGAAAAATGTAGTTCATCAAAATTCCCTGTTGAGGAAAATTGATCAAAGTCAGCAAAAAATTGAAAAGACACTACAATAGCAAACACAAATAATGTTAACCCATCTCCAAGCCTATAAACAAAAAAAATTAAGACCGTCCATGCTGAAATCGTGATCCCGTTACAAAATCGTTTACCCATAGCAAACTAAGAAAGAGAAATAAGAAGTATCAAAAGTCAACTTATTTTTCTTGAAAACAATTCTATGATCCCACATTCCACTCTATACCATCCAACTCCATAAATCCTTATCTCACAAACTTCTGGACCAATTTATTCAACTGGAGCTTTTGGATCATAGCTTCACTCTTTATCCCTAAAGAATGGAAAAAAAAGTTAAAACCCCTTCATTTTCCTAACACAAAAAAATAAAAAATAAAACAACTAACTTCAAAAAACCCACAAGCGTTATCTCCATCAAATCTAGAAAAATGACCACGAATGATGATAGAAAAACCATTATCACCTTTTTACAAAAAGCTTAAAACCATTCCCCTCACATATCTCATGTCATAGCTATTTCAAATGAAACCAGTTATGAACCTGAAGAGTCCTGGGATGATTATCTAGAAGATCATCCTCCTTTATACATAGCTCATGGACCACAACAAAGTCAAACTTAACAAGGAAATCCTGTTGTTGATGAATCAAGAAAAACTATTGATGAAGAAATTGTTGATAATTTTGATGCTTATTCTGTGAATAATTATTATTCACAAAGCAACATTTTAGCAGTTAAATTCACTTTTGATAATATTTCTCCAACTTTATGGAATGCAAGATTCCACGAAATGAAAGCAGGGTGTTCAGCAGAATTGTAAAGGCCAAATATGACTCATGCCTATGTTATAAAATCCATTTTGGCAAGGATTAATGGTGTCCTTAAAGATTGGTATGATGCTTTTGGTGAATATCGTCAAAACCAATACTCGTATGCCGAGACAATTGATGCTTTTGTAGAATCATTGTATTGGGAATTCTATGGAAAATTAGATCATTAGAAAAATGTTGCAAGAGAACAATTCTTCGAACTAAAATGTTATTCCTACAATCCTAAAGATTTGGATAAATATTTTCACAATATTGATAGACACTATTGTATCATTGGTGGAATGGATAATACCAACATAAAGCCAAGCTTATCCTGAATCCATACCGCAACCCCTTGGCCATGAGACACTCATAATGATTGAAATAAAAGGACAATCATTAGGAACCACTTCATTTTGAGAACTTCACAACTGGGTTATTAGAACCTTAAAAACACATTGTAATCAAAGAGAGTTTTTAAAAGATATCAATACAACAGACCAGGAGCTTGAACAAGCTTGTGATCAATCATATTTGAAAATCAAGTGCCGACATAACAACAGAAGTTGTGATTGCCCAAGAAAAGAGGTACCACCTGAGAAAATTCAAATTCCACAACAAAAAATTTTCTAAACCTTTTCCCTTAAGGAAACGATATTTCAAGAAGGAGTTCACAAAGAAAAATGGTGATATATTCTATCTGTGGAAAGAAATGTCATTTTGCAAATAACCGTACGAACCAAAACTAAAAAAATAATAAACATTTCTTGAAAAAGGTTAAATGGAGAGCAAAACTATTAAAATGGTTGAAAACGTATAAATTTTATTCTCTAAAATAAACTTCTGTTTGAAATTTTTTAAAAAATTATATTTTGGATAGATTTTGATAAAAGCTGATAAATATGTGATTAAAAAGTAGTGAATCGCATAAAATATGTTGTTAAAATTAATTATTTACTTTAACTAAAATTTTTATCAGTTATTTTAGCTAAACTAAGAATTTGAAAATGTTCTTAATTGACTATAAAACACCCTTTACCTATAGAACAATTCTCCTTTTATAGGTGAATTAGTTTACACGCACGTTATAGTTGTATGGTGCTTTTTCCTTTTCTTTTCTTTTTTTCTTTTTTTTGGGGTTAATAATGAATGAAAAATTGTCAAATGGAAGTCGATAAAAAATTTGTGAATGATTTTTTACACCAAGCACGGACTTACCTTAAAGTTTAATAATCAGAGATATGAAGTACGGTCCATTGACTTTTCCAACGTCTGTTGCAGGTCTTCATTTTTTAATTAAACAGTAATAATTACTTGTTGATTGCATGACTTGTAAAGATAAATTATTGTGTTAGATTCTGCTGTGTTCTTTTATATAAAGTAAAGAGGTGAAAAATTATCTTGGTAATTTTTTTTCCTCAAGCCTTTGAAATTGAGACACGACACGGTCACACGTGTAATACCATTCAACTCGTGTTTAACACTGGTCTAAATGACAGTACTTGTATCATTAAATTATAAATTTAATTAAGTATAAAGAGATATATTTACTCCGATATATGACATGTAAATTGATGTTCTGAAATCATTGATATTAGATAGCACTAAAATATATAATTATAAAAAAAATGAGAAGAAAAAAGCTAATTAGTCTCGGTTTGGTTGGGAAAAAATTAGAATTTTAGTAATTTTTAATAAAAATTGATAAAATATATGATTAAAAAATTATAGGATCTATGAAATATGTTTAGACTCGTGCCCATATCTCTATGTGCTTTTGGGGTGTCGGGTCGCCAAAAATCAACCCATTTCAACTTTAATTTAGATTAAAATTACATTAATTAAAATCTAAATGAGGGTTTAATGTGAAAAGAAAGAATACCAATTCTAATTACCCTGCCATGAGCTTTTGACATATATATATGCGTGTGTATGAGAACACAGATCATGGCCGAGCCACGACTTCTGACTCTTTCTTAGTCTGCACATCTACTATTCCACCACCACCAAACCCACGAAATATTCAGCGTTTTTCAACACCATTCGGTGAACTACTATATATTTCCACGATTTCAGCATTCAGAATACTTTGTCCATCACGCAACTTGATTCGTTACATGTGAATTCGTAAGTATAATAAGTATTGATTGTGATGTCAATTGAGTTGTTTAATTACTGGATCTTGGTTTATTTAGCTTGTTGAATTCGTGTCAGTTTGTGTAGATTAAGTACTGTGAGTAATTTTCTGTGTGACGACCTGACTTTATTTCAGTGTTTTTTGAATAGTTTTAAACTGGCATGTTTCAGGAACTCGAAGTGCTTCAGTTTGGTTGAAATAATTCAGTTCAATTTAGGGCAAGTGGATTCTTTACACCTTAGTTTGATTTCTTCAGAACTTAAATTTAGTTTGTATGCCCTCATGAACACTGTATTTGTTCAATCTACAATTAACTTAGCAATTTGCGAGTATAATTCTCTAGATTGTCTTTAATTTCTGAAATTTCCAAAAATTGGAATAGTTTATTTTGTTTCTTACTGGAAGACCTTTCTTTTGCTTGACTAATGGTCCACCAGAAATATATATGGACACGCGATCTTACAATAAATAGTTCTCCAAAAAAAGAGAAGGAAAAAAAAAAAAGCTTTTAAGAAACATGGATAAATATATATGTACCGAATTTCGGTTTCTTAATTGATTATCTACTCTCACATGCACATGAACCTCGCGTGCATTTAAAAATTCCGGTGTGTGGGACCAGCCCTCCTATTGTGTGCGTAGGTAAAACATTCGGTAAAAAAGTGGATGTACATCTAGCATTGTCCAAGAAACATATACTTAAATATATAATTCATCCAGGGCAAACTGAGAATGAAAAATGCTGTATTTTTATTTATCAAGGTAAGGCATGAAGATTCTTATTATTTTTTTTTTTTCCCTTATCGTGATTGCTGTTTGAAAGGCTTGGAGGGATATGAAATCTGATTGGTGAAGAAATTTGAACGGGTAAAGCAGATGATGGCTAATTGAAATGTCTAAACCAGTTTCTTGCCCAGATTGAGGGGTGGTAGTGTTGAATACATAAGATTATTGTCATACACTGCACAAGGCCATGAGTTGTAGCTGCTTTGGTGCATTCTCTGGCCAGAAGAAGTATGATAATCGTGCTATTCAGTCCACACAGGGCCAAGAAGGTAAGTGTTTCATCACAGTTTTGCATAGTAAATTACACTTTCATTGCAAATTTGGTTCATATAATCTGAAGAACTCTCATCGATCAGGTTTACATCCTTTTAATGATTTTTTAGGTGCTTCCCAGTTTTATCTGGAATGTATAATTCAAGTTGTTTATATGCTGTTATAGTGCTGAGCTAAATGTCATGTCGAAATAAGTGCTTTAAATATCTTTTTGTGCTATAGTTTGTAATCATGCTGGATAAGCACTTTGTTTCTTGTTTTTGTTTGGGCTTTCTAACTCACACTAGATGTTCTAATAGAATTAGACAAATTATCTGCTTCATTTATATTTGTGATAATATCATATTTCCTCTTCTAAGTTCCATTCCATGTAAAACCTGGAAAAACAAATTAATTTTCTCGTTATGTTGTAGAGAACGCAATAACATAACAGTTTAGCAAATTATATGATTGATGTGAGTTTCTGGTATCATTAAGATTATCTGAAAGAATTCTTTGATCATAAACTTTTTATATTGTTGCTAAAGCGAACACTGGATACTACGCATTACCTAAGCACTTAATCTTACATTAGAGAAGGATATGATGTTTTACTTTATAAACCATTAACATGATTATATTTTTTAACATAAAAAGCATATGACATTGGTTCATCTAATCAGTTATCTAAATTTTATTACCTGTTGGAAAGATGATAATTGAACGAGGAAATTGTCTTCAACTTACACTCTAACAAGGAGGAGAACAAAGGAAAAACTTTAGAGTTTATACTTCCAATTTAGAAATGGGTTTGTTCCACAATGAAAGCCCAATTTTTTGGGAAGGGGAAAGACCTCCATTGTGGTTGGTTGAGCAAACACAGTGATGCCCCAACCTAACTGGAGATTGGTCTCAGGCTTGAATATGAAAAATACATTAATATTTTACAAAAAAAAAAAAATTTAATTACTAGGTGGTAGCTAACACATTTAACCATTTCTTAACCAACTTCCGGCCCAAGCCAAGGCCGGGGGTCAAACTAACCAATTTAACATTTCTAAACCCACAATTGGCCCAATCCCAAGTGGTTTATCCTTTCCGGAAAACTATATCTTTTCAGAATGACTCAAGTTGTATCCTTTTTGGAAAAGTACTTTTTTTTTTAGATTGGCCATGTGGCGAGTTATTTCCAAAGAGTTAATTTCATTCCGAGTAGTCACTAGCCTTTTCAAACAGTTTCATTCAAATGCAACCTTCTCGAAAGGGGTAATTGGCACAAAACGTCCTTACCTTTGAATGTTATTATGGAAAACGTCCCCACCTTTTATTTTTTTGCATTTTCACCTCTACCTTCCACCTTTCATTGTACAAAAGGTTATTTTCATCCATTTTTTACGATTTTACCCTTCTATTTAAATAAAACAAAAGAAAAGAAAGGAAAAAACAATGAACTAATTGCAACCAAAGTCCCAAATTTTCAAAAAATTACAAATGAGTTAAAAATATATTCTTAAAAATCAGTTTGTTCATTGTCTTTTCTTTTCTTTTGTTTTTGTTTTATATAAATAGAAGGGTAAAATCGTCAAAAATCAATCAAAATGACATGTTGCGCAATGGAAGGTGGAAGGTAGAGGTGAAAAGGTCAAAAAATGAAAGGTAGGAACTTTTTGTACAATAACATTAAAAAGTAGGGACGTTTTGTGCCAATTACCAATGTTCTGCGTGAACTGCATCAAGGGAAAGCAGACCAAAACCTCACTTCGGTGGCTTGTAGACTTGCTGCCGAAAGCTCTTTCTTGCACTCAAGGACGGTTGGGTTAAGATTAAGAGTTATACAAAATATCATGATTTTAGAATGAGAAAGTACGGCACTTCCCACAAGATCTCAGTTTGCTTTCGCCAGATACCTCTATATATATATATATAGAAGTATGGAATAGGAGTGTCAAGATTGAGTTCTTTACACCTTTACTTTTTCGCCCAAGCACATAATGGAACTGTAGATAATCAAGTGCAATCCAATCCATGAAATAATTTCATCCATGGACAGCATCACTGTGGTAACATTACTCTATCTGCTCAAAGCAAAAAGAGCAATTGATCAAATGTATGGACTCTCGTATGAGGATACTAGAACTTGTGTCGTACAAAGCATGCTATCTTATTTTAAATTGGTTTGTATTGCAGCAGCAAATGCTACCTTTAATATAGGTTCCAAGAAAAACAATGTAGTCATCATTACTCTGGTACTCGAACTCTTTGAAATAGTCGGAGTTCCTGTGTCGGACACGACAAGACATTGGTATGGATTTAGATATGTGTCAGATCCTCCAACTTTCAATCAGACACTTCATCATTTTTGCGTCTTCTTCTTTCGTTTTCTTCCTTTTCCTTCTTTTTTCCAGTTTCCGCTCTCTATACACCTAGCTCGCTGCTGATAGGGCGGAGAAAGGTAGCGACACTAGGTTTTCCCTTCTTTTTCTTCTTCTTTCCTTTTTTCTTTCCATTTTCTTCATTTTTTTCCTTCTTTCCCTCTCCGTATCGTGGCTTAGGATTTTGTTTGTATAAAATGAAAATGGGGGTTCCATATGGTGCTACTTAGTTCTCCACTAAGTTCAAATTGCAATCAAATCCCTTATTTTCTATTTTATTCGTCTTAGCCCCTTAGTTAATACTCGTTTCCTGCTTTGTCAATAATTGATTTTGGTAATTTTAAAATGACATATTGGATTAGTAAAAAAATTGAAGTTTGAAAGAGTACTTACGTACCTGTGTTCGAAATTTGAACTCTTTTTAGCCATGTCACCGTATCATATACTTTAGAAAATAAAAAATTCGACACTTAAATACGTACTCGTACCCAAGTCCGAGTATACTAGATTATTAGCACCAGAGTAAACATTTCGTAAGGAAAAAAAACTCTATTGCATCACAAGGAAACATTTGCTTACAGCACCACTAGAAGGAGCGAACTTGTTTTAGAGAGACATCTTGAACACGTTGAGTATGGATTGCTGCAAGTTTATTCTGTCTCCTTCTGTTTTGATAACTGGAGTACATTAGATAGTGGATAACGCCATCGTTGACAATTGACTTTTAACCTCTTTTATTTTGCAAATTAAATATACCAACATAACGAGGCATATGTCATCAATTTTATTTCTCAGTTTGTCGAATCAATACCAATAAATCAACCCTATAATGAAGTAGCCTCTTTCACTTTCTCTGTCATCTTATTATATCATTTGAATATCCTTTTTTAAGTTAGAGGAGTGTAATGTGTACGAGATATGTCCATCCAAGCATGTAATCTAACCCGACCTTGTTTATCTTTGAGTTTCTGAGTGTACATCCAAGTAAACCTCACAGAGTAAAGTAACTAGACCTCCGTTACCTACTTAGGAATGTTACCAATGTTTGGACTGGTTAATCTATAGTTGAACATTATGATTTCTTTACTTTCATCTCAAAGGTTGCATATATCTCTTTTTAGTTGTTCAAGATTTTATCTCCTGATTTTATTATTTTTATTTTTATCTTTTCATTTTTCAGGGAACTCAATGGCACTAACAAAAAATTTCTCATACAATGAATTAAGAATAGCTACGGAGAACTTTCATCAAAGGAACAAAATAGGGCGAGGAGGTTTCGGGACAGTTTACAAGGCATTACTCATTGTTACGAAGTTTCTTTTCCTATTGTATCAGCTATTTTACCTGTCATACCCTTGGTGTCATCTCTTGAATATCTTTTAGAAATAGTTGGAAAAACTTCATGAGCTTATACTGGAAGATGATTAATCAACTATGATGTGCTTCCTTTTTCACTACTTTATTTTCACGTGTTATCCCTCCATTCCTGATAATTATCATATGCAAAGGCTGTAACTCTTTCACTTCCAGTCTTTGTGGACGAGTGCTTAGCTGCTTAAATATTGGTGCAACTAATCTTTACGAGCGTCAGCCAAGTCCTGGGCTTCAAATTATCCAAAATTTAACCTTCCACTCAAACCAGACTTATGACACATTGCACACACAATTATATACTGGTTTAGTCAGAAAGCAGCTTCCAGGATGATTATCTTGGCAGAATCCACGCATTTTTAGTTGACAAGGGCGACAACTTAGCTGAAAAATTACACTAAATTATCCAGGCTGTAGGTAGCTTCAGCAATACTACTACTAGAAGCAGCTTATTCGTAATAATTTCATCCTCTTGAATGGTTATGTCACAGTTATGCAAGGTTTTGTTATAAATTTGGTATTGGGACACTCGTTGGAATAAGTTTGTTATCTACCTTTCCTGCAGTACTATTTTTGCTTTCTTAACTCTGCTGCAATTTCATAGGGAATTCTCAAAAATCAGACAAGAGTTGCTGTGAAGACACTTTCTGCTGAGTCAAAGCAGGGAGAGCGCGAGTTTTTAACTGAAATTGAGACTATATCCAATGTTAAACATCCAAACCTTGTTGAATTACTTGGATGCTGTCTTCATGAAAGTAACCGAATTTTGATATATGAATATTTAGAAAATAACAGCCTAGATCGTGCATTATTAGGTAATTTGACAGTGTCCTAGGGTGTCTGAAAATGATTCATCGAAATCATATTGAACAAAGGGGTGATGAGAACAACACTTGTGTTTGCAGGTTCAAGGAGGACTATAAATTTAGACTGGAAAAAAAGATCTGCTATCTGCATGGGTACGGCCAGAGGTCTTGCCTATCTTCATGAAGAAATTGTGCCGCACATTGTTCATCGAGACGTCAAAGCTAGCAATATACTTCTTGACAGAAACTTTGAACCCAAAATTGGAGACTTTGGATTGGCTAAACTTTTTCCTGATGATATTACCCACATCAGCACAAAAGTAGCAGGAACCACGTATGTCACCTTTTTTCTCTACTGATATCACTCACATTGGCAAAAAAAATATAAATAATTTACATCTTTATATGAAGTCTAAGTCGTTTCAGAAGCCACTGTATCTATTTACGTATATAAAGATCTCAATACAATTTTTTGAATTAAGCACTTATATGATATGGATTTTTCTTGGCATTTGAAATTTTTGCCAAAGTTAATGGAAGTTCTGAATTCTTCTGAGTTCTACCTTCATTTGTTCTCAACAGTGGTTACCTGGCACCTGAGTATGCGTTAGGTGGTCAGTTAACAATGAAGGCTGACGTATATAGCTTTGGTGTTCTAACACTTGAAATTGTAAGCGGCAGGGGTAGTGGAAATACTTATTTTGGAGGAATGCAAAAGTTACTCGTAGAATGGGTGCGTGATATATTTTACTTCCTGGATAGCTTTTCATATCACTGTTTTAATCTACTCATGCTAGCTTCTGTGATAAGATCAGTCTTCCTCCCAAAAACAATTATGAATGCCTTCTTTTTTCTCTACATTAATAAAATAAAATAGCATGATTGTGTTCATACATATAGCAAAGTTTGCACTAAGAAAATAAGTAAATTATCACCTTTTATTGGATAAGTTACTTTATTCTTACTTTAAAAAAAAAGTTACTTAATTTGAAGTTTACTCTTTTGATTCGATACTGTCAAACTTATTTCCTCATTCTAATCAATGAAAATTATTGTAAAACTTATTTAGCTCCTGTTTGGTGTAGCTAAAAAATCAATTTTTAATAGATTTTGATAAAAGTCGATCAAATGTGTGGTTGAAAAGTTGTGAGTTCCATGAAAATAATGATTAAAATTAGTTGTTGACTCTGACTTATATTTTTATCAACTTTTTAAGCTACACCAAACAGGGCTTTAATATATTGAGTGAACTATTTAAGCTTAGCACTCATTAGATCTTACACTTTCGTTGGAATTCCCTCTGGTGATGCTTGTTTATTGTTTGCTTCACAGGCGTATGAGCTTTATGAAGAAGAAAGGCTATTGGAGTTAGTAGACCCAGAACTCGAGGAGTTTCCCAAGGAAGAAGTTCTCAGGTACATGAAAGTGGCTCTCTTCTGCACCCAAGCAAATGCAAGCAGAAGGCCAGTGATGAGTCAGGTTATGGAAATGCTCTCTAGAAATGTACGGCTTAATGAAAAGGAACTTACACCTCCTGGATTCTTTCAAAGTTCAGGTCAGGTAACTGATACAACTTTAAAGAATAAATCATCTGAAAGTTCGACAAGCCAACAGATGAGCTCCTTTCCCCTCAGTATTACTCAGGTGACTCCCAGATGAAGCTTCACAGAAATCCTCCGGTGTATCTTACGACCTGCACTAGTTTAACACAAATGACAATTGATGGCAAAGAATGCAGGAAGAACTTGTTAAATTGTAGCTCATTCAAATTCCATCTTAGCCGGTATTTTTGGCGGCCCTTTTTTTTTTGCAATATTTTTTCATGCGAGCTTGGTGTGAGGGATATTATTTGAGGTGTACACACATACACAGAGAGTGACATTGATCAATGAGGTTCTAATATTTTGTATCTACATGTACATGCTACCTCTGAAATATATATGATTTTTAATATATAGTTTATAATTGAATTGTGGCAGCCTTGAATATGTTTGCCATGTTTATTGTACCATCGGTTTGCAATTATTTTTTTTACTGAGGATTTTGACAGTACTAGCCTTGCCTTTAAACTTGCACATTTGATAGTGTAAATTGACTTGAAATAAAATTATTAAACTCATTTAAGTAGTCATCTTTAGCTAGCTATTTTAAGTCCATCAATTAACGGTTTCTCATTTGAAATATGTGTCATATAATTGGTCATCAATTCTTCTAAACGATATCAAGAACTCAACTGGACGATTGAGAAATATAGCCAGAAATAAGTCGAAAGAGGTAAAGACCAAGAATTAGATTAATTAGATCCACTTCATGTAACAATTTTTAATTCACCATTGTGACCTCACCATTTAGCAACTTGTTAAGTAAAAGGTGTGTTACAAAGTGCGTCATCAGTGCTTCGAAATCGTCTCAAGAACCTTTCTTTAAGATTCAAGAATTCTAATATGAAATTGACCACTGATTTGATAAACAGACGTGATGTTTGGCCAAGCTTAAAGCCAGGGTCCCTAGATTTGGCCGTATCTTTAACCCTGGCCATTTAGTTTTGTCCTTTGATAAAATGGACCAAAATTTTCATTTTTCCTTTTGTTTGATCAGTCCCTGTTAACTGTTATTTGATAATGTAGAAAACGTGATATGATGGTAGTGTCAAATCTCAGACTTAGTTAAGATGTGGGCGGATGTAATAAAGATTTTTTTTTTCTAAATATCATTTTAATTGTTTTTAGATTATTAATTATAATTCTTATTAATTAATTAGTTTTTATGTTTTAAAAAAGATGCAGGCCTTTTCGTATACTGAATTTTTCACACATTTTTCATACACAACAACTTTTTTCACGTCCAAACTTGTATAGGATTGCCTTTTCTCCTTTTAAAACACAAATAAAATTTTCAATTGTGTTATATGTACATCACAAGTTGCAAACTATTATATATGCACATAATATGGTAAGATATGGTAAGATATGATTAGATCGTAATTTCTTCAACCAAGTAACCCAAAAAAAAAAAAAAAATCATGTTCTTTTGACACCTTATCTATTTTTAAAATATTTTGTAACTCCTTATATGCAAGTAACATTATTCTAAAACATCTAAGCATCACATCTTACAGGAGGTTGGCCCGGATAAAAAGGTATGTTCTGTTTAGATTAAATTCTTGTTGGAAAAACTCATCTAGAACACTTAAAAACCTTCTAATATGGGAAAACAAATCAATAGTTAATTAAAAATACACCATTCAATTAGATTACTATAGGAAATTTTGCCTTGAATCAGTAATTTGTCACGAATTAAACCTCAAATTTGGAATCAACTCCCACAGTTCGATCAATGAAGTAAACCAGCTAAAACCAACTTGAACTGTAATCGAGTAAAACAGAATAGAATTGGGGAGAAAAAAAATGAGAGAATAAGAAGAGAGTAGTTGTTGAATTTCTCAACAAATTTACTGAAATGTCAAATGATCAAAAACTGAAGAACTATTTCCACCATTCTGTATCTATATGCTCAATACAGAAATTGCATTACTAAACACAATAAAGAAAATGTTTTTTAACTAAAACTTATTACAATTTCATTTAATCAAAATGGCATCGTATGACTCGAACCTAAACAACATTGCATGCTTTTGAATTTCAGTTACTTTTGTTGGCTGCTTCTTTCCCCTTATTTCTTTTGGTTCTGATTCTTTTCCTTTCCCAATTACTCTTCACGTGATAATCCTTCCCTTCACATTGATCTTGTCCCCAAAATCTACAGAGAGGAAGATGCAATTTGATCCAATCCACATCTTCCCATGTTGCACAATCTAGGGTAGAATCTGACCAATGAATAAGCCACGAGATGGTGGTGTTATTTTTGTGTGCAATGGTCCTGCACTGTAGGATGGATGATGTGTTGGTAGTTTAGACTTACACTCATGAGGCAATTGAAGTACTGGCATTGCCCTGTCACTTAACAACTTCTTCAACAATGAAACATGAAAGATTGGATGAATTTTGGAGCTGGTTGGAAGTGCCAATTTGTATGCCACAGTGCCTAACTTCTTGGTAATCTGATACGGTCCAAAGTATCTTGCATTGAGTTTATGGTTAGGCCAGTGTTCCACTGAATATTGAGTATAGGGATATAGCTTGAGGAATATTCAATCATCCACTCCAAAAGACCTTTCTGGTATTTTTTTATAAGCACAAAGATTCATCCTTGCACTTGTCCGTGGAAGGTTCTCCTTTAACTGTTAATTTAATTCGTATCTCCGCATCTCCACTGCCAGCTTCTCTGTTTCTATTTTCTAAATAAAAGGGCCTATATAGGGGTTGATTCTAAATGGCTTAGGTTCTTTTTATAGTGGAATGTGATGGTACTGTGGCTTGAGAGGAGGTAGCCCCTTTGCTCTTCAAACACCTTTGGAAACTTTTGAATAACCTCCAGTGTCCTGCTTCGTATCTCTCCATTTTCTTCCTCTCTGATAGAGTACGTTTGTCCAACCACTCCATATGAACTTCCGCTAAATAGTCTTTCTATCCCTTCCATTTCCAACATCTCAATAGTACTTTGGCATTCCATTCTTCTACTCTACCTCTCCACTCTTGTCCTTGAATTTAATACATCGATGTACAAAATCAAATAGAACTAGACTAAATTGACCCATCCAATTCACTCCCAACATCATATCGCTCCCTGCAAGATCAATGTCCTTTGCTTGAACTGGAATTCCAATTACTCTCCACACTAATGGTTGGCATACAACATTGCTTTCTATTTTGTCACCATTAGCTACCCTGACTGTCATAATATTGGCTTCATCGGTGACATAATTCAATTTCCTGACTAGCTTCTTTATCCAACAATATAAAGTTAAGGGACGTATTCTTGCACACATGGCCTATAGTATATCTCTCATCACACTTATAATAGAGTCCCAAGTTCTTTTTGGTTTGAAAGTCAGTAGAGGTGATGGTTTTGTAGTTGTTTGGTGGTTTATTGATTTTTGGTCATGGTTCTTTATCTTTGGTTTCTTCAGGAGATTTGGAAGGGTAGAGGTTTCATTTGTTTGATGAGAAACTCTTAGGTTTTTGGAATTTGATAATAGCTTGGATGGTGGATTCTTGCAGGCTAGCCACTTCAAATGCTTTGGCTAGGGTATTTTGTTTCATCATCTTAACCATGGATTTGATTTCCACTCTCAAACCACTAGTAAACACACATATATAGTAAGATGTTAGAGCATGAGGCATTGCCATCAGCACTTGGGTTTTTAATTCCTTAAACCTCTCTTGATACTCAGAGAATGTTCCTAATTGTTTGATCTTACTGAAGGTCTCAACCACCTCATCACCTGCGCTCTTTGCAAATCTCTTTCATAACTTATCAGAGAATACACGCCAATCTGTCTCTGGATGGCCGGAAATAAACCTATCAAACCATATACCTGCCTTACCTTTCAAATACATCTCAGCAATCCTAGTCTAAGTTCATCAGGCACTTGATATATTTGAAAATATTTCCTCGCTTCCTAAACCATTCCCTGGGTCCTTCTTCTCCAAAGTGGGAAAATCAATTTGAGGAAGCTTGGTGTTTCCATTATACTCCCATCTAGTAATTGTACTACTGCCAGTGTTACTAGCTCTTGGTGTAGACATTACCACTCCAATCCTCACATCAACCACAGATTCCTCCATCCTTTGGTTCCCCTGTCCCATTTTTAAGATCCGAAGACAACTGGGCCATGTTTTTCATACTTTTGGTTCATTTGTAGTACAGTATTTTCGATTTCTTTTGTCTATGACCCATTGCCTGAAGTGTTTGATCTGTAGAATGTTTGATCTGTAGAAGCTAATTTGTTCTCCAACCAGCTGGTAACGACCTTAATTGAAGTTCCCAGATCAACCATCTCTAAATCCAATTTCTTCAAGTGCTCGTCCAAAATTTTGGCTTTAGTAACTTTGAATAGCAATTTTCCAGTAGTGTATGCCTGCTCTGATACCAATTTTTCACGAATTAAACCTCAATTCGCAATCATCAACTCATGCAGCTCAATCAATGAAGTAATCCAGCTTAAACCAGCTAGAACTGTTACCAAGTAAAGCAAAATAGAATTGAGGAGGGAAAAATGAGAAAATAAGAAGAACAAGAAGAGAGTAGCTGTTGAATTTCTCAACAAATTTACTGAAATATCAAATGATCAAAAATTGAAGAAAATTTGTACCATTCTGTATCTATAGGCTCAGTACAAAAATTGCATTTCCAAAAGCAATTAAGAAAACATGTTTTAACTAAAACTTATTACAATTTCATTTAATCAAAACGGAATCATATGACTTGAACCTAAACGACGTCGCGTGCCTTTGAATTGAAGTTGCTTTTGTTAGCTTTTGTTGAAATCTCAAGAATATGGAAAATTCTCCCTACCTTAAGTATCATAGTATATTTTATTAACTAGTAATTATTATTGATTGTAGAAGATTCTTTAACACTTTTAGATATATATTTTGCTCTTTTGATATCTTTTGTATATTATTAAAGAAGGTATTAGGGTGTAATACTGATCAATGAAATAACAGAGGTTTCACTGTTTACAAAATATTTCTATACTTTTACCGTTCACATGGTATTAGAGCAAGAGTAATAACCCGATCTAATGACAAAAACCTTGCACAGTAGCAAGGGGTCAATGATCACTAAATCACCCAATGGTGAAATAGAAGCGAAGCCAATAGTAGGTTCCAGAGGAATTGATAATTCGTTGTTCTAACTCATGTTGGAAAAATTAAATGGGAAAAACTTCAAAGAATAGGCCCAATCCATCAAACTAGTGATCGATGGGAAAGGAAAATTGGGATACCTAACTTGAGACACGAAGAAGCCTGCCTCAACAGAATCTGTCAGCTTGCAAAGATGGAAATCAGAAGACTCATTGGTGACTGCGTGATTCGTGAACTCCATGACTCCTTCATCAGAAAAACTTATATATTCCTACCAACCACAAAGGATGTTTGGGATGCTATTGGAGAAACATACTCCGATTCTGAAAATGCTTCCCAAATTTTCGAAATCAAGAGAAAATTGTGGCAAATAATGCAAGGGAGAAGTCGCTGAGTATTAGTTGGAGATGGTGGCACTATGGCAAGAGCTCTACTTGAGTACAGAAGAAGAGTGGGACTGCCCTGGGAACTGCGCGTGATATCAAAAGAAACTAGAGAATGAATGGATGTTTAAATTTTCGGTTGGGATCCATCGAAATTTGGACGATGTTAGAGAAAGGATACTTAGCAGGCAACCAGTACCTTCAACGAGGGAGGTGTTCTCAGAAATTCGCCAAGAAGAGAGTCATGTGATGCTGAACAGTGGAAGAGACGAAGAGGAAATGTCAGCATTTGTAAATAAGAAATTTGGGCCTCCAAAATTTAGGCCAAATTTTGAAGTTGGGCCTGGTAACATGGGCTACTCTTAAAATAGTGGATCGGTTGGAGATGTTTTTAATGGATCAAGTTTCAGTAATGGGCTTGGAAACCTGGGTAATAATGGGCTAAGAGATATGGGTCTATATTCAAAAGGTGCAATACATGGGTCGGCACCAAACAACAAAGAGGTTGACCCTGATACGAACATTGTCTTAAATTAGGACACAAAGAAGATACCTACTAGGACCTACATAGAAAACCAACTGATTTGAAACCAATGGAGAATAATAAAAATCGAAGTTACCAAGCTTCAATCGACAATCAGACAAAAATTCCTACTTCTAACAATGCTTTTAATCCTGAACAGATATAACAACTCTACAAAATGTTTTTGAGCCTTTAGTCTTCCAAAATGGCCTTCCAAGCTCGATAGCCCATAGGGGTAATTTTTATGAACCTTAAATTGTATCACCAAATTTAAAACTCCTTGGATCATGACTCAAGAACATTTGATCACATGACGGGCTCCTGCAATTTATTTTCCTCATATTCAAAATGTACGAGTAACCTCTGAGTTAAAATTGCAGATGGGTCACTTTCATCTGTAACTGAAAAATGAAGCATTTGAATCTCTGACTCCATAACCGTAGAATCACTCGTTCTTGTCCCTAATTTGTCATATAATTTAATATCTATAAGTCAATTGACAAAGAATTCTAATTGCACTGCTAAATTCCCCCATTCTCATTGTGTTTTTTAGGACCTATCATCGTCACTGATGATTGACAGTGTTAAGAAATGTAATGAACTCTACTACTTTGACGAGATTGATATGAGTAAGCAACATCGAATTGTTATTTGTGATTCTGCATCTCTTTCTAGTGATAATTAGGTCTTGTTATAACATTTTTGAATGGAATTCCCAAATTTCAATATTTGAAAAACGTATTCCCTACCATGTTCTTAAATAAAAAGCATGTTAATTTTCAACGTGAATACTATGATTTTGCTAAACACCACCTAATATCACTCCAAAAATCTACGTATAAACAATCAAATCCATTCACTATGATCCGTAGTGATGTATGGGGCCCTTCACGAATTCCTAATTGAGCTAATACGAAGTGGTTCGTCACATTCATTGACGATCACACTTGACTTTATTCAGTATAGCTCTTAAAAGAAATTTTTGATGTACGATCCGTATTTTTTAATTTTCATTCCGTGATACAAACTCAATTCCAAACACGGATTCAAATTCTATGCACCGATAATGGCACAAAGTACTTCAATAAAAATTTGGGAGATTTCCTTCGAGCAAATGGAATAATCCATCAAAGCTCTTGTGTTGAAACTCCCCAACAAAATTGAATTATTGAACGAAAAAATAGACATCGTTTACTAATATTTACTACAAATATGCCAAAAATATTCTGGTCGATGCTCTCTTAACCTTTGCTTACCAGATTAACTGAATGTCCAGTTGTATCTTAAACATCGAATCACCTCTCGCAACATTTTAAAAAATCTTTCCGAACTCTCGAATTAGCTTAAACCTATCCCTCAAAGTGTTCGGTTGTAAGGTTTTTACCCATATTCACGACAATCACAAAAATAAACTAGATCATCAAGCAATTAAATGTGTCATTATCGAGTATTCTCCTACTCAGAAAGGATACAATTGTTATGACCCTTCCACGAAGAAAGTCATTGTTAGCCTCGATGTCACATTTTTTGAAAATACTCCTATTTCCACAAAACCTCTCTTCAGGGAGAGAATTTAAATGGAGATTAGCACCTATACTTAGACTTTCTACCTTTAGAGTCTATACCTGTCACATCACATAGCTCTCCCATCATACCTCCTAGCTCTTTTTTGCCATTTACAAGAGAAAACTTAATTCAGGGGAAGACACAAAAAAACAAAGTGACAACAAAATACTTGTTTACTATAGTAGTCCAAAAGTAAGGTATAAGGAGAACCTCACACACAAAGCACCAAGAGAGTTGGACCCAATGATAGCTCTAGACATATTAGAATCATCAAACATTTACCTACCCATCGCCATCAGAAAACAAACTCGGTCATGTATTCGTCACCCTATCTCTAAGTTCATGTCATACACTGTTTTATCTACAAGATTTTGCAGCTTCACATCTCATCTTGACAATACCACAAATCCAAAGAATATTCAGAAAGCATTGGAAATTCCAAAATGGTAAAAAATGATACTTGGAAAGTAATGGATTTGCTAAAAGGAAAAAAGCCAGTACGATACAAATGGGTCTTCAACTTAAAATAAAAAATTGATGGAGCAGTAGAATGATATAAAGCTCAATTAGTTGCAAAAGGATACTCACAAACCTTTGGGATTGACTACATAGAGACATTTGCACTTGTGGCACAATTGAATACAGTAATGTACTTTTCTCGTTAGTAGCAAACTTGGATTGACCCTTCCGACAACTGGACATTAAAAATACATTTCTAAAGGGGGAATTAGAAAAAGAAGTATATATGACACTACCACGAGGTGTTTGCATGGTAAACAAGATTAATCGAGTATGCAAGCTCAAGAAGTTTTTATATGGACTTAAGTAGTCACCTAGAGCATGGTTTGACAAATTGGTAAAGGTATTGAAGAGGCGAGAAATCAACAAGGGTAGTCAGATGCTGATTGGACAGATTCCACGGAAGATAAAAGGTCGACTACTGAATATTGCACCTATATAATGGGAAATCTAATAACATGGAAAAGCAAAACGTAGTGGCTAGAAGTAGTACCGAAACAGAGTTTAAAGCGGCAACACATGAAATATGTGAAGGGTTGTGGTTGAATAGATTTCTAGAAGAGCTACAAAGTTCCCAATCAAACTACACTGCGATAACAAGGCTGTTATCAACATTTCTCTAAATCATTTCAACAAGATCTAACTAAACACGTAGAGGTAGACAGATATTTCATCAAAGAAAAGGTAGAAGATGGGACTATTTGCATGACATACGTTCTCACATAGGAATAAACTACAAATATCTTCAACAAAGGAATACCTCAACAATAATTCGATGATTTCATTCACAAGTTGAATATGATCAACATTTACAATCCAATTTGAGGTAGAGTGTTGAAATCTCGAGAATATGGAAAGATTCTCCCTACCTTAAGTATCTTTGTATATTTTAGTAACAAGTAATTATTCTTGTTGCAGGAGATTCCTTAACAGTTTTAGATATATTATTTGCCTTTCTTAATGTCTTTGGTACATTATTAAAGGAGGTATTAGGGTGTAATATTGATCAATGAAATAATAGAGACTTCACCGTTTACAAAATATTTCTACGATTTCACTGTTCACAACTTCCTCTTTCCTTCCTTCTTCCCCTTTCTTTCTTTTGGTTCGGATTCTTTTCACTTCCCAATTACTCTTCACGTGACATAATCAAATTGATCAGTAGCATACAGCCAATCAATTGTATTATGTTATTTGTACAAAGTGGGTTCACAAATTTGATTGAAAAAAATAAGTATTGACAAAATTCATACCACTGATTTTCAATGATTTAAAAATTTGTTTTAAAATGATTTGTATGAATATTACTTTGTCAACCAACTTTGTACATATAAAATAACTACAATCAATTTCGATCCTTGAGATACCGTCGGCCATATTCCTTTTATTCAGCAGTTCATGGGTTGAGATGCTGGGCCCAGGCAGAAGAGAAGAAATTTGACTCCAATTCTTAAGTTTTTAAATTATATTATAAAGATGTTAATCGAAAGTCAATCATTAAAAAGGAAAATGTTTTACAATAACTAGTACAAAACATATACTTAATTTGTAAAAGCTTAAGAACATACGAACGTTTCCAGTCATTGTTTCTACTCTCAGTAGTAACTGGCGGTGCAAAATAGATACAAGGCACGGGGAATCGAGCGAGTAAGCAAGCAAAAGTAGAAAAATTAGCTAACAAGCTGGTCGTTGGATGGACCAGCAGTGGGTTCTTCAGATGGCCGTGAACCACCGGCAGCAGATTCTTTGGCAGGTGTTTCTTTAGTCGCATTTGATTCTGCATCTTTTCCAATTTTGACAGTCTTTCCATCCTTAGAATCTTTCTTGTCCTTAGCAGGAGCAGGAGGTGGTGGCAACATGTGAGGCGGGGGATTATGCTTCAGCTTCACCAGTATATGGCGCATCCTTGAAAGCTCGGTAGGCTTGCCAGGTTTCGGACCTTGGACGACTGTGATAGATGGCTTCTTGTCTTTATCCTTCTTCTTCACCCTCTTTTCAATATTGGGTACCTCATTAGGAATGAGCTCGGCTATGGCTTTCCAATATTGTTTATCGGCTTCTTTATGGAACTTTTCTTGGCCGGCCAGGAATGACTGTTATACGAATTCAACAAATGAATTTTTTAATCAGAAGCTGAAATAAAAAAGAATCAAGAAACAATATATTCTATATAACACAACCTTCTCTCTCTCTCTGTTACTAGTCTTGTTAGTCTCTAAACCAAGAATTCTTTTCTCGTAGAAATTTTTTTTATACTCCTCAGCATCTTCTAGAATTTGGTTCCGCAGTTCTTTTTCCCTCTTCTCCTTCTCCTCAAGCCGAATGGCATTTTGCCTGCATCAAAATTGTTATGAAATTAACAAGTTTCTAAACACACTAGTATTTCATCGCTACAGTTCAGACAAAATGAAGGCCTGGGAATTTTAGGTAACACCAAAAACTGGTACCTTCAAATCTTTATCCCTCTCTTTAAAGGAATAATCAGTACCATAATTCATGCTTTGGCTTGGGGTGAGAGGGGGTCGTGGTGGATTTTAGATGACCCCCCACAACCGGTTAACTTAGCAACTTTGTCTCTCTTTCTCTAAAGCATCTTTTTTTAATTCCATAATCAAGCTTTCCGTGGAATATCCACCAATGCTCTATGCATTACCAAGAGAAAAAGGATCATAGTGTACATCACAAGAATTTGGAGTTGAGGTGAAAGTATAGGGTGCTTTTTATTATTAAAGACTCCTAATCATAAGAATTTGTTAATGGACCAATCAATTCTTGTCATATCATCAAATAACATCCTTGGGGTAAAGAAGGATGAGAAATATAAAAACATAAAAATGGATGCACGAATATGAATCTTGGATTGTCATCTGGACATAATCTTCAATATGCTTGAAAATCTCAATTTATGAACTGGCATACATATAAGCTATATAGAGTTCATTTTCAAATGGTTCTATCAAAACAATGCTTAGCATTTACGATCTATTGTATTAATGATATTTAGCCCCTGTTTGGCCCCAATTTTCTAAAACTTATTTTTTCTCAAACTCATTTTCAACCGCACATTCTCCCAATATAATAATTCTACACATGGACAATATATTTACCCTAATTTTAACTACACATTCTTAAAGAATCACTTTTTTCACAAAATCTATTCTCAAAAAATCTCTACCAAATAGGGGCTTCAGATTTATGTAGCAGTATAGTGAGACATCACTAAAAAATTTCAGCATAATTATTCTACCATGTTCTTTACTTAAAGCAGCCTCTTCATATATACCAGATTAGCGCAAGAAGCAAGAACTAAACTACTAATCTATTATAGATAAAAATTTCAATGGCCAAAGTATTATCAAATTATACAGGCTATAATAGAACTCGTCAAAAAGATCATCTTTCCAAAGACTATATAAAATTCCACAAAACTCCAGCAATGCTCTAACACTGTACCAATCAGCATATTAACACAAATACCAGTGCAACAACTCTAAACATCAGGCTCACGCACCTGCAGAATGACTAAGGTGTATTCCACAATTTTTTATTTTTTTTTAAAACTGACTAAGATCTATTCTTGATAATTTTTTACCACTGCACTCACTGAAATATCCAATAAAATTAAATATCAATAATCACATTGAGCTTGATCAATTTTTTGCCCACTTGCCTTTCCTAGAACTTATTTCACCGTGATCGCACCACTCCTGCCAATAAGAGTATCTTTGAGAATCAACGTTAGACATACCCAACCATCTACGTAGTGTCACCACTAAGAGAAGCTTCGGTATGACGGTCTATACGCACACGTGGTAGGATTGTCCATTCAAATCATGTCACCTTGAACCTCAAGCCACTCAAATCGCAACACCTTATCATTGGACAACCACTTTGTTTGTTTCACCACATTAGACGTTGAGGTGTCTCGATTTGAGTTCGAGGTGTCATGATTTAAATGGGTGATCCTACCATATGTGCATATAGGACTGTCATGTTAAAGTTTTTCTCCACCCATAGTTATTGACGTATATCCTTCTCTCTTATTTGATCTATTTTAATCTGGCACACACCCGTTGTAGGGTCCTTTTAAGTATTATGATATTATTAGGGTATATTCCTTAAACAACTCAAAACTGACTTCATAAACAGAGTCTAATAGCTATTGTGTGCCACATGTTTTTAACTCAATAGTTATCTTCCAATCACTCAAAATCCTTGAAGTACTTTTCCATGTCATCGTTATCCAACTAAAGAATAACCATTACAGTAATTTTACCTCGGGTCAAGTGTCAAATTTTGAAATGAACTTGCACCGCAGAGTGGATCTGTTTTCTCTGTCCAAATAAAAACCAAACTCCAGTCCTTAACAGTTCAAAGAACCCTAAATCATGTGCCATGAAATCCAAGTTATATCCTTAAGTAACAACTACTCAACCATCAAATGGCCAATACCTTTTCCTTTCCCACATAACTACCCCTAAAAGTTTACACTTGTTATGATCGTAAAGATAGTTGATTTCAGACCATAAACCTGAGTAATAATCAAGAAATTCGAATCAAAGTTTCTATTTGGTTCCATATCAATATAAAGATAAAAAAGAACAAGAATCTCCTCTAAATTATTAAATCTGTCTTTGAAAAGTCCTCGAGAAAATGAATGGAAATCCAAGACAAAAACTAAGTAACAGATCTAAAGTTTGTATAAGTTGGCAACGGGAAACTTCATCCAAATCAAAATTAACCAAGATTCAACAAAAAATATCTGACCTTCTCCATTCGCGAAGAGCGAATCCTTCTTCAGGCTGCAATTCAGAGTGAGGCGGAAGAATCGGCCCATCGGAGTTGAATATTCCCTCCGAATCTTCCCCCATATCATATGGCCGATTCCCGTTGCCATTCGAGATCGGGGCCGTGGTCGAGGACCCGAACGGATCGGGGCTGTCCACGTGATCCACCACCACCTCCTCCGATTCTCCGTACTCTGGAGGGTAAACTCCAGCTCCGGCGGCGGCGGCAGAGTAAGGCGGAGTGTCAGCAGGGGAAAAGGCGGTGTATGATTCGTCGTAGCCAGTGTACCCGCCGTCGTCGAACTGACGCGTACCGTCACCGTCCGTGCTGTATGCGTCGAACGATGCCATCTCTTTCTCTCTCTCAAGTCTACTCGGACAAGCTGTCTGATTTTTCTCTCTGCGCTTCTCTCTCTCTCTCTCTAATGTATGTATAGTATGTATCTGTATTAAAATCTTGCAAATAAATGGATTTATTTTATTTTATTTTTTTTTGCTTAAACTTTCCTTATCCAGTTTTTACCGTGGAATCAACTGGAATATACTGGGTAGTCTGGGTTTTTCTGCTCAAGAAATATACTGGGTTTTACTTACGATGAAGAATAAGCATTTAACGAATTAGATTTTGTGCTCAAGTTAAGTTGCTTAAATCAGCTTGCATTTATAAAATGTGACAATTTAATTTTACTACTCGAAGACTGCATTGACTCAAATTCTTCGTCATCGTATGATAGCAGCATCGAACTAACATAATCGGTTAGCACTATAATTCAACGAATTGACTTAGCTATAGGAAGAGAAAGAACATATCGTAACTTGCAACTGACACTCTCATTTTGGGAAACTCAAAAGGTGAATTCGGAGACATAAAACTACTAAAATTTGAAATGAATAATATGCTTTTTGTTTTGAGTTAGAAGATTATTTCATAAAATGATAGATATTTGGGAATATGTGACTTATGTGTAAAACATTCAACCGGTAAAATCTTTGTTTATAAACATCATTTTTGTAATCTATTTAGGGGTTGTTTGAGGTCTATTTTTCTCAAAAAATGTATTTTGAAATAGTATTATGATGAAAAATGTGTGGTTATTAATAAGAAAAATTTTTGAGTTTACCTGTAATATTATTTTATTGAAAATATGTGATTAAAATGATATCAAATCACCTTTAAATAATGTATTTTGATAGAAAAATAGGCTCAAACAAAGGCTTAGTCAAATAGGGAGAAAAATAAGGGTTGGAGATATATCCTCGAAATGTTTGACCCCAAAAATTAAAAAATAAACATATTAGGATACAGTCTATATAGCCAATTTATCATTGACCAAGTGTCGAAGGATTTCAATATCTTTATCTTTTGTTCTTTAGCCCTTTTTTAAGTCCTTTTTTTTTTAATAAAAATACTTTTTTAATCTAGAAGAGTAGTTTAGTGATCATGTTTTAGATTTGCTCCCTCAATGTTCATCAGTTCGAGTTTTCTCAAAGTTATTGAGGTTAGTATCCGACTGTAAACTTCAAGATTTCGTGAGATTAGTCAATGTGCACATAAGCTGGTTCGGATACCTACGGCATAAAAAAATGTATTTTTGAATAGTGTATTTATGAGAAATGTGTGGTTAAAAAATAAGAAAAAAGATTTGAATTTGAGTGTAATATTATTTTATAGAAGAATGAGTTGTTAAAATGATGTCAAAATATTATTTAAAAATATATTTTTTTTCAAAAGAACGGGGCTCAATTACTTTTCTCCAGTAAGAATCACATTTTTTCCAAATAAAATTAAAAATTGCAATTTATGTCGTGCAATTAGAAGCATTAAAAAGGAAAGTTAGAAAATATGTTTTTAGTGTTAGACAAGTAGAATATTAAAGTAAATAGAATTTAAATTAGATGCATTGTACCATCTAAAATTATGTAATAGAAAATATGCCTTTAAAGTACTCTTCTCATCTCTAGCTTGGCATGTGCTACTCATCTCTAGAGAACTCTAGTCAGTCCTTCGTTATTTTCAACGAAAGAAGAATGACTAATTGTTTAGGTGATGTTTGGTACGGATTAAAAATAGGTCATGTTTGATTCTCATTCTTTTAAAAACTCATTTTTAACTATACATTTTTCAATAAAATAATATTACATACAAATTCGAAACTTTTTTTTAATTTTTAATCACGCAATCTCCATCAATCTACTTTTCAAAATACATTATTTCTCCCAAAAATGGGGATGAAACAAGGGCTAATTTTTTTAGTGATTGTGATAAAAGTTTTTGAAATGTCTAGTTGAAAAGTTGTAGAACCCAAAATCGGTGTGGTTAATATTAATTGTTTTACTTTGATTTAAGTTAAAATCAAATTTTAATACGTACCAAACATGCTCTTAGGATATTCTAAAGTTATGCTTGCAAATAAGTCATGTGAAACTCAAGCCCCCGTTTGAGCCCCATTAATTCGAAGTAATGTACCATGAAATAGTAATTGATGGAGAATGTGTGGTAAAAAATGGAAAAAACTTATTTGCGTATAATATTATATTAATGAAAAATATGATTGAAAATAAATACTGGAAAAAAAAATAATGTAAAAGAATGAAACTCAAACAAGGGATCAAAAGTGGTTCAACATTATTTTGTCTAAAGATTTATGTTTGCGATATATGTATATAATGATTTACATACATATAACGTGTTGAAATATGATTGCGTCAAAATTATTTCAAACAAATAACAAAAAATTTCTCCACTCTTTTTTAACACCTCGTTTGTATAAAAATTATTATATAATTTCACTATATACAAGTAATATTATTCAAAGACATATGGGTCAGGAGACATAATTATTTAAATTTGTTTTCGACATTATGCCAATCATATTTATTTTTCATTATATGTATGATGAGAGAACGGTCTCTTATAAATAAATGGCGATTAGCCTTGAATTAATAAAAGTATATGTAAATTTGCTTGGTGAGAGTAAATCCATTTCATTTTAGATAATTTATATATTTCTTGACCCTAATTTGGCCCTCATTATAATGAGAAACTAGGAAAAAAGTACTTTGAAATAGTAAATTTTCTGAAGAATGAATAGTTAAAAGAGTGAATTTTTTTTTAAATTTACATATAATATTACTTTATTAGAAAATGTGTGATTGATAAGAAAAAAGAGTAAAATAAATTATAGTTTTCGTAAGGGTCGAACAGAAGATCTATTACATTTTTTTGGGTAATGGTTGAACATCTAAATTGATTAAGATAGACTTCATGATGTTATTAATTATCTATATCAGATTGTCCATCACTAATTTATTGTTTTCGTATATGTTATAGTGGAAAGTACACATATCCATATATTTTAAGATGCAATTTCAAAAATTAGATCCAAAGACTGTTTATTCAAAAATCAAGTTATAATTAAACTATTATAATATTGATAATAATATTATAAAATTAATTTAATTTGCATACCACACCCTCAATCATTAACCCATCCAACTCAATTTTCAATCTGAAAACCCTAATCACTTTCCACATCCTTCTTTCTCAACCTTTTTTATTATGTCATTGTTTGAGCCCCATTTTAGAGGAAAACATGCATTTTTGAATGTTGTATTGATAGAAAATGTGTGATTAAAAAATAAAGAAAGATTTTGAATTTGCGTGTAATATTATTATATTTAAGAAATGTGTGGTTAAAATAATGTTAAAATACTGTTTAAAAATACATTTTTTTCCAAACAATGTGGCTCAAACAAAGGCTATCACTCTGGGGACTTATCTCCACCGGCAGTGCGCAGCTCTCCAATCGCCACTGAACGACGCTTAAATTCACCATCGCCATGTACAACAACGAGCTCATAGCATCATGTACAGTGCGAGTACAACGGCTTATGCTTTGGTTGTCAGTGGTGTAGATCTCTGGGCGCCACAAATCCATTCTTCTTTCCTTCTTTTTTTTAATAAATTTTTGCGTTGTGCAGTGATTGACGGTTCGGTGGTGAAGGTGTGCGGTATGGTGGTGAGAACGAAGATCTGGTGGGTGCAACGATGATGTGCTTTCCATGGTGCTATGGTTGGTTGAGTGGTGTGGTGATGCATGTGTTGGTGGTAAGGTGCTGTGGTGCGGTGGAGATGGAGGTGGAGGTGTGCGATGTGGTGGTGGAAATAGAGAGCTCAGGTGGGTATGATGGTAGTGTGGTGCTATGGGTGCATTGTGATGGTGCAGTGATGTTGGCGGCATGATAGTGGATCTAGGGTGTGCGATAGTGTTGATCGATTGTGAAAGTGGTGGTGTTTGACGACAGTGATGTGTGTAGCACCGTGGTGAGGTGATAATCGCAAGTGTAGGTGGAGCTCATAAATTATTTGGTTGATTGTGATTGTTAAATTGGTTAATCTGTGACCAATGGAAAAGATAAATTGTGATCAAGAAAATAATGTATGACCTAAAATATTGTTAATTTGTGATTGATAATTTGATAATTTGTGACGAATAATAGTTGTAACCTTAAATATTTGTGATTTGTGATCTATAAATAAATTGTGACTTATAAATTTTTTGATTTATGATTGATGAACAAATTATTTACCTACAAAATTTTTAAATTATGATCGTAAAATAATTTGTGATATATAAAAATTATGATTTGTGATCGAAAAATAATGCGCGACTAATTAAATCATTAGTTTGTGATCAAATTATATAGATATGTGACATTAATATATTTAATTAATTAAATCATAAATAAATATTAATAAATATCTATTTATGAAATTTGAAACATTTGTTTTTAGTTTTGAAATGAGTGATACTTAAAATCTTAGTTATGAAATTTTCCCTACGTGATATACTAATAAATTTATCGCAAAATGGGTTGTGTTTTCGTTGAAATAAATTCATAAAAATAGTTCGTGTTTTTGTCTCAATTTGATAACATAACGATTGAAGTGGCTAACTTTTAAAGTTTGACTCAAGTCTAAAAAAATCTAAAGATTTGACTTTGATTGTTTGGGGGAATGTTTTCGGTGATGAATATAAAGTGAAAATCCGATTAAATTTTTTTTCTTACTTTTTAGCTTATTTGAATTAGAAGGATGGATTGGGTTGGTAGGGATAATAGTCGCCGATAAATGAAAAGTCGAGCCCTTGTTTGAGCTCCATTTTGAGGAAAAAAAATATTTTTAAATAGTAATTGACGAAAAATTTGCGATTAAAATAGGAAAAAATTTTAAATTTATGTGTAATATTATTTTATTAAAAAGTATGAGATTGACAAAGACTTAAAAAAATGAATTTTTAGGCGAAGGGTGCAAAGGTACCTCGTAGACGTGCCAATAAAATAGTTGGGATGGTGACGGATAGAAGTAGGGATGGAGGCTTTCCTGAATTAAAACCCTCTAAATCCAAGGGATGAGTACATCATTTTCATATCCCAGTTCTTCCGCTTGCAGGATCAGACGGCGATAAATGGGAGAAGGGGTGGATGCGGAGCATCAGCAGCCAAATCCGGATACCGAATCCACTGAATTTACAGAAAAACCCTCCAATGGCGCGTACTCTTGGCCACTGGTTCACTACGATGCTCATCCTTACAGAACATACCATTTCTTCAAGCAATTCCGAACTGCTTCATCAAACTCTAACAACTTTCTTAAAGGTGTCAAGTGGTAATTTCACTGCTCAGTTTTGACCTTTTTCCTCGTTTCCACGAATTATCGCTGTGATTTTATTCATTTTCTATAGGGGTTTTGATTTGTAGGTCACCAGATGGCTCTTGCTTCCTAACCTGCTGTGACGACAACACTCTCCATGTTTTTACATTGTAAGTCTATCGATCAAAATAGCGAAAGTCTGGATGATTTTTTATGAGATTGTAATTCGATCCTTCTCAAATGGTGTCCTCCTTTCAGGCCTTATGATGACAGCGTTAGCTATGTAAATACGTGCTCTTCAGCTCCAGCCGAAGGTAACTCTTTTACTCTTACTCGCACCTGACTTCCATTTGTGTTAAAAATTCTTGCATTTGGATTTTCTTATTTTTATTTTTATTTTTTCAATTCTAAGGGTCTACTTCCAAGCATCCAAATGATTTATGATCTTTATTTTTTTTTTCTAACTTTAATTGAATTTAGATGAAATAAATTTCTGATAGGCCAGTTCCACGCATCCAAACTTATTGTTCAAATATGAGAACTTATGACACCTCAACGCTCTGGCATGTATTTTTTCTAGAATGTGGATATTTTGAAGGAGGGAACAAAAAACGTTGTTAATGTTGAATGCCACTTATGTGGAACCTGTTCCAACTTAGATTGGTTCTCTGAAGTATTATGCTGGAATGGTTCAGAATGCTAAATATTTAGATTAATATATAATGAAGGATGTTAAAGTGTGTATGTGAAAGAAATATATAAAAATCCTGCGAGGTTTTCATTTAACATTAATATATGCTGACCCATCTGGGGTTATATATAATATGGTCTAATGACATACTTTTTTTCAAAATTTCTACATATCTCCTTAAAACATTTAGTTTGCTTGCAGATTCATATGTGGCAAACCTTGTTGTACGTGAGGGAGAATCTGTCTATGATTATTGCTGGTACCCACACATGTCTGGTTCAAGTACATCTCCGTGACATGATTTTTCTTGTACTAATCTTGATAAATATTCTGGAAGGCAGAAATTCACTAGAATTCTGGTTTGTATTTCAGATCCAGATTTATGTGTGTTTGCAACTACTACTCGCGATCATCCTATCCATCTCTGGGATGCTAACTCAGGGCAGGTGGTGCATCACTAACGTGCTTTTCTTAAGAATCTGATCTATCCTAATAAAGCTTAACAATAGCCTAGAACTGTTTATAATACACATCATTTAGTAGTTGAGAATAAGATGGTCACCTTTTTCTATCCTAGTCTCCAAAACTTGGTCCTTTTATATACTTGTTTGTGTATTTGTCAGTAACCAACCACCCATTTGTATGGGAATTGCAGCTACGCTGTACATATCGTGCCTATGATGCCATGGATGAGATTACCACTGCCTTTTCAATTGGATTCAACCCTAGTGGAACTAAGTAAGCATTCATTGAAAGGCCTTTTTATGCTAAAACTTTCTAATCTCATTATTGTTGCCATTTGAAAATTTTGTATTGGTATTCTAAGAATCACCGATACTTGTAAACTTATTACGTACTTGTATCCGATACGTATTCAAGCTCCAATACTCTCCGATTCGCTTTGATACGTACCGTATACTTTTTTTAAAATTATTTTATATTTTTTAAATTTTCGATACATATCTGATACGTATTTTTTAGTTATTTTATATTTTTGTCTGATTTTCGATTTGTATTTGATACTTTATGGTCCACATGCATCTTTACTACAAAACATTGCTTTGAAACTTCTTGTCTAACCTTTTTGTTCATCTAGTGTTGAAAGAAACTGGGATACGTACTCTTGTGTGCACTCTTCAAGTAAAAAAAAATCAACTCCACTACGAGCTGAAGAATTGGTTTCATTCATAATAATTTGTCTTTTATCAAGAAATTAGATCTCTATTCAAAGGAGAATTCAAAATGTAGGACATTGTCGAAAACTCATTTGATATTTTTGAAGGTGTTGAACGGGTTAAGGTTGCTAATCTATCATTAGATGAGCCAGAGATGGAGAGTTATTTTTAATGATAATGAGGAAATTGATATTTATGATGTTTAAAAAAATGAAGTTCGACATTAGTGATTAATATAAAGTGCTTTATTCTTTTATTTTATTTTTATTATCATGCTTCTGTATGACAGTGTTAATATTTTTTTATATTAATGAAATTATTTTGAATTTTATAACATGTATCGATTTATCCTAATTTTTTTCAAAATAGTCGTATCGGCATATCTGTATCATATCCAAATTACGTATGTGTATCCGTGCTTCTTAGCTGACATTGTAATGCTGCTGTTGTTATGATGATAATGTTGGTGATGGTCTACCTAAGAACGTAATGAATTCTATAATTATCAATAATGTAGGAACGACATTACTCGTATTTGAGATCTTGATGAAGTAATATAAATGATTATAGTGTGAGAGTTACGGTAAGTAAAGTTTTGAACCTGATTGATAGATTCATATATGATGTTTTTAGATGAAAGATAAACAATGGATTTGGCTTAGTGCCATAAGGGAAGATTTTTTATTTTTTTTTAAAACTGACTAAGATCTATTCTTGATAATTTTTTACCACTGCACTCACTGAAATATCCAATAAAATTAAATATCAATAATCACATTGAGCTTGATCAATTTTTTGCCCACTTGCCTTTCCTAGAACTTATTTCACCGTGATCGCACCACTCCTGCCAATAAGAGTATCTTTGAGAATCAACGTTAGACATACCCAACCATCTACGTAGTGTCACCACTAAGAGAAGCTTCGGTATGACGGTCTATACGCACACGTGGTAGGATTGTCCATTCAAATCATGTCACCTTGAACCTCAAGCCACTCAAATCGCAACACCTTATCATTGGACAACCACTTTGTTTGTTTCACCACATTAGACGTTGAGGTGTCTCGATTTGAGTTCGAGGTGTCATGATTTAAATGGGTGATCCTACCATATGTGCATATAGGACTGTCATGTTAAAGTTTTTCTCCACCCATAGTTATTGACGTATATCCTTCTCTCTTATTTGATCTATTTTAATCTGGCACACACCCGTTGTAGGGTCCTTTTAAGTATTATGATATTATTAGGGTATATTCCTTAAACAACTCAAAACTGACTTCATAAACAGAGTCTAATAGCTATTGTGTGCCACATGTTTTTAACTCAATAGTTATCTTCCAATCACTCAAAATCCTTGAAGTACTTTTCCATGTCATCGTTATCCAACTAAAGAATAACCATTACAGTAATTTTACCTCGGGTCAAGTGTCAAATTTTGAAATGAACTTGCACCGCAGAGTGGATCTGTTTTCTCTGTCCAAATAAAAACCAAACTCCAGTCCTTAACAGTTCAAAGAACCCTAAATCATGTGCCATGAAATCCAAGTTATATCCTTAAGTAACAACTACTCAACCATCAAATGGCCAATACCTTTTCCTTTCCCACATAACTACCCCTAAAAGTTTACACTTGTTATGATCGTAAAGATAGTTGATTTCAGACCATAAACCTGAGTAATAATCAAGAAATTCGAATCAAAGTTTCTATTTGGTTCCATATCAATATAAAGATAAAAAAGAACAAGAATCTCCTCTAAATTATTAAATCTGTCTTTGAAAAGTCCTCGAGAAAATGAATGGAAATCCAAGACAAAAACTAAGTAACAGATCTAAAGTTTGTATAAGTTGGCAACGGGAAACTTCATCCAAATCAAAATTAACCAAGATTCAACAAAAAATATCTGACCTTCTCCATTCGCGAAGAGCGAATCCTTCTTCAGGCTGCAATTCAGAGTGAGGCGGAAGAATCGGCCCATCGGAGTTGAATATTCCCTCCGAATCTTCCCCCATATCATATGGCCGATTCCCGTTGCCATTCGAGATCGGGGCCGTGGTCGAGGACCCGAACGGATCGGGGCTGTCCACGTGATCCACTACCACCTCCTCCGATTCTCCGTACTCTGGAGGGTAAACTCCAGCTCCGGCGGCGGCGGCAGAGTAAGGCGGAGTGTCAGCAGGGGAAAAGGCGGTGTATGATTCGTCGTAGCCAGTGTACCCGCCGTCGTCGAACTGACGCGTACCGTCACCGTCCGTGCTGTATGCGTCGAACGATGCCATCTCTTTCTCTCTCTCAAGTCTACTCGGACAAGCTGTCTGATTTTTCTCTCTGCGCTTCTCTCTCTCTCTCTCTCTCTAATGTATGTATAGTATGTATCTGTATTAAAATCTTGCAAATAAATGGATTTTTTTTATTTTATTTTTTTTTTGCTTAAACTTTCCTTATCCAGTTTTTACCGTGGAATCAACTGGAATATACTGGGTAGTCTGGGTTTTTCTGCTCAAGAAATATACTGGGTTTTACTTACGATGAAGAATAAGCATTTAACGAATTAGATTTTGTGCTCAAGTTAAGTTGCTTAAATCAGCTTGCATTTATAAAATGTGACAATTTAATTTTACTACTCGAAGACTGCATTGACTCAAATTCTTCGTCATCGTACGATAGCAGCATCGAACTAACATAATCGGTTAACACTATAATTTAACGAATTGACTTAGTTATAGGAAGAGAAAGAACATATCGTAACTTGCAACTGACACTCTCATTTTGGGAAACTCAAAAGGTGAATTCGAAGACATAAAACTACTAAAATTTGAAATGAATAATATGCTTTTTGTTTTGAGTTGGAAGATTATTTCATAAAATGATAGATATTTGGGAATATGTGACTTACGTGTAAAACATTCAACCGGTAAAATCTTTGTTTATAAACAACATTTTTGTAATCTATTTAGGGGTTGTTTGAGGTCTATTTTTCTCAAAAAATGTATTTTGAAATAATATTATGATGAAAAATGTGTGGTTAAAAAATAAGAAAAAATTTTGAGTTTACTTGTAATATTATTTTATTGAAAATATGTGATTAAAATGATATCAAATCACTTTTAAATAATGTATTTTAATAGAAAAATGGGCTCAAACAAAGACTTAGTCAAATAGAGAGAAAAATAAGGGTTGGAGATATATCCTTGAAATGTTTGAACCCAAAAATTAAAAAATAAACATATTAGGATACAATCTATATAGCCAATTTATCATTGACCAAGTGTCGAAGGATTTCAATATCTTTATCTTTTGTTCTTTAGCCCCTTTTTAAGTCCTTTTTTTTTTTTAATAAAAATACTTTTTTAATTTAGAAGAGTAGTTTAGTGATCATATCTTAGGTTTGCTCCCCCAATGATCATCAGTTTGAGTTTTCTCAAAGTTATTGAGGTTAGTATCCGACTGTAAATTTCAGAATTTCGTGAGATTAGTCAATGTGCACATAAACTGGTTCGGATACCTACGACATAAAAAATGTATTTTTGAATAGTGTATTTATGAGAAATGTGTGGTTAAAAAATAAGAAAAAAGATTTGAATTTGAGTGTAATATTATTTTATAGAAGAATGAGCTGTTGAAATGATGTCAAAATATTATTTAAAAATGTGGGGCTCAATTACTTTTCTCTAGTAAGAATCACATTTTTTCCAAATAAAATTAAAAATTGCAATTTATTTTGTGCAATTAGAAGCATTAAAAAGGAGAGTTAGAAAATATGTTTTTAGTGTTAGACAAGTAGAATATTAAAGTAAATAGAATTTAAATTAGATGCATTGTACCATCTAAAATTATGTAATAGAAAATATGCCTTTAAAGTACTCTTCTCATCTCTAGAGAACCCTAGTCAATCCTTCGTTATTTTCAACGAAAGAGGGAATGACTAATTGTTTAGGTGATGTTTGGTAAGGGTTAAAAATAGGTCATGTTTGATTCTCATTCTATTAAAAATTTATTTTTAACTATACATTTTTCAATAAAATAATATTACATGCAAATTCGATTTTTTTTTAAATTTTTAATCACGCAATCTCCATCAATCTAATTTTCAAAATACATTATTTTTCCCAAAAATGGGGATGAAACAAGGGCTAATTTTTTTAGTGGTTGTAATAAAAGTTTTTGAAATGTCTAGTTGAAAAGTTGTGGAACCCATAATCGGTGTGATTAATATTAATTGTTTAAATTTGATTTAAGCTAAAATCAAATTTTAATACGTACCAAACATGCTCTTAGGATATTCTAAAGTTATGCTTGCAAATAAGTCATGTGAAACTCAAGCCCCCCGTTTGAGCCCCATTAATTTGAAGTAATGTACCATGGAATAGTAATTGATGGAGAATGTGTGGTAAAAAATGGAAAAAACTTATTTGCGTATAATATTATATTAATGAAAAATATGATTGAAAATAAATACTGGAAAAAAAATAATGTAAAAGAATGAAACTCAAACAAGGGATCAAAAGTGGTTCAACATTATTTTGTCTAAAGATTTATGTTTGCGATATATGTATATAATGATTTACATACATATAACGTGTTGAAATATGATTGCGTCAAAATTATTTCAAACAAATAACAAAAAATTTCTCCACTCTTTTTTAACACCTCGTTTGTATAAAAATTATTATATAATTTCACTATATACAAGTAATATTATTCAAAGACATATGGGTCAGGAGACATAATTATTTAAATTTGTTTTCGACATTATGCCAATCATATTTATTTTTCATTATATGTATGATGAGAGAACGGTCTCTTATAAATAAATGGCGATTAGCCTTGAATTAATAAAAGTATATGTAAATTTGCTTGGTGAGAGTTAATCCATTTCATTTTAGATAATTTATATATTTCTTGACCCTAATTTGGCCCTCGTTATAATGAGAAACTAGGAAAAATGTACTTTGAAATAGTAAATTTTCTGAAGAATGAATAGTTAAAAGAGTGATTTTTTTTTTTTTAATTTACATGTAATATTACTTTATTAGAAAATGTGTGATTGATAAGAAAAAATAGTAAAATAAATTATAGTTTTCGTAAGGGTCGAACAGAAGATCTATTACATTTTTTTGGGTAATGGTTGAACATCTAAATTGATTAAGATAGACTTCATGATGTTATTTATTATCTATATCAGATTGTCCATCACTAATTTATTGTTTTCGTAGATGTTATAGTGGAAAGTACACATATCCATATATTTTAAGATGCAATTTCAAAAATTAGATCCAAAGACTGTTTATTCAAAAATCAAGTTATAATTAAACTATTATAATATTGATAATAATATTATAAAATTAATTTAATTTGCATACCACACCCTCCATCATTAACCCATCCAACTCAATTTTCAATCTGAAAACCCTAATCACTTTCCACATCCTTCTTTCTCAACCTTTTTTATTATGTCATTGTTTGAGCCCCATTTTAGAGGAAAACATGCATTTTTGAATATTGTATTGATAGAAAATGTGTGATTAAAAAATAAAGAAAGATTTTGAATTTGCGTGTAATATTATTATATTTAAGAAATGTGTGGTTAAAATAATGTTAAAATACTGTTTAAAAATACATTTTTTTCCAAACAATGTGGCTCAAACAAAGGCTATCACTCTGGTGACTTATCTCCACCGGCAGTGCGCAGCTCTCCAATCGCCACTGAACGACGCTTAAATTCACCATGGCCATGTACAACAACGAGCTCATAGCATCATGTACAGTGCGAGTACAACGGCTTATGCTTTGGTTGTCAGTGGTGTAGATCTCTGGGCGCCACAAATCCATTCTTCTTTCCTTCTTTTTTTTAATAAATTTTTGCGTTGTGCAGTGATTGACGGTTCGGTGGTGAAGGTGTGCGGTATGGTGGTGAGAACGAAGATCTGGTGGGTGCAACGATGATGTGCTTTCCATGGTGCTATGGTTGGTTGAGTGGTGTGGTGATGCATGTGTTGGTGGTAAGGTGTTGTGGTGCGGTGGAGATGGAGGTGGAGGTGTGCGATGTGGTGGTGGAAATAGAGAGCTCAGGTGGGTATGATGGTAGTGTGGTGCTATGGGTGCATTGTGATGGTGTAGTGATGTTGGCGGCATGATAGTGGATCTAGGGTGTGCGATAGTGTTGATCGATTGTGAAAGTGGTGGTGTTTGACGACAGTGATGTGTGTAGCACCGTGGTGAGGTGATAATCGCAAGTGTAGGTGGAGCTCATAAATTATTTGGTTGATTGTGATTGTTAAATTGGTTAATCTGTGACCAATGGAAAAGATAAATTGTGATCAAGAAAATAATGTATGACCTAAAATATTGTTAATTTGTGATTGATAATTTGATAATTTGTGACGAATAATAGTTGTAACCTTAAATATTTGTGATTTGTGATCTATAAATAAATTGTGACTTATAAATTTTTTGATTTATGATTGATGAACAAATTATTTACCTACAAAATTTTTAAATTATGATCGTAAAATAATTTGTGATATATAAAAATTATGATTTGTGATCGAAAAATAATGCGCGACTAATTAAATCATTAGTTTGTGATCAAATTATATAGATATGTGACATTAATATATTTAATTAATTAAATCATAAATAAATATTAATAAATATCTATTTATGAAATTTGAAACATTTGTTTTTAGTTTTGAAATGAGTGATACTTAAAATCTTAGTTATGAAATTCGAGGTTTTCATTTAACATTAATATATGCTGACCCATCTGGGGTTATATATAATATGGTCTAATGACATACTTTTTTTCAAAATTTCTACATATCTCCTTAAAACATTTAGTTTGCTTGCAGATTCATATGTGGCAAACCTTGTTGTACGTGAGGGAGAATCTGTCTATGATTATTGCTGGTACCCACACATGTCTGGTTCAAGTACATCTCCGTGACATGATTTTTCTTGTACTAATCTTGATAAATATTCTGGAAGGCAGAAATTCACTAGAATTCTGGTTTGTATTTCAGATCCAGATTTATGTGTGTTTGCAACTACTACTCGCGATCATCCTATCCATCTCTGGGATGCTAACTCAGGGCAGGTGGTGCATCACTAACGTGCTTTTCTTAAGAATCTGATCTATCCTAATAAAGCTTAACAATAGCCTAGAACTGTTTATAATACACATCATTTAGTAGTTGAGAATAAGATGGTCACCTTTTTCTATCCTAGTCTCCAAAACTTGGTCCTTTTATATACTTGTTTGTGTATTTGTCAGTAACCAACCACCCATTTGTATGGGAATTGCAGCTACGCTGTACATATCGTGCCTATGATGCCATGGATGAGATTACCACTGCCTTTTCAATTGGATTCAACCCTAGTGGAACTAAGTAAGCATTCATTGAAAGGCCTTTTTATGCTAAAACTTTCTAATCTCATTATTGTTGCCATTTGAAAATTTTGTATTGGTATTCTAAGAATCACCGATACTTGTAAACTTATTACGTACTTGTATCCGATACGTATTCAAGCTCCAATACTCTCCGATTCGCTTTGATACGTACCGTATACTTTTTTTAAAATTATTTTATATTTTTTAAATTTTCGATACATATCTGATACGTATTTTTTAGTTATTTTATATTTTTGTCTGATTTTCGATTTGTATTTGATACTTTATGGTCCACATGCATCTTTACTACAAAACATTGCTTTGAAACTTCTTGTCTAACCTTTTTGTTCATCTAGCGTTGAAAGAAACTGGGATACGTACTCTTGTGTGCACTCTTCAAGTAAAAAAAAATCAACTCCACTACGAGCTGAAGAATTGGTTTCATTCATAATAATTTGTCTTTTATCAAGAAATTAGATCTCTATTCAAAGGAGAATTCAAAATGTAGGACATTGTCGAAAACTCATTTGATATTTTTGAAGGTGTTGAACGGGTTAAGGTTGCTAATCTATCATTAGATGAGCCAGAGATGGAGAGTTATTTTTAATGATAATGAGGAAATTGATATTTATGATGTTTAAAAAAATGAAGTTCGACATTAGTGATTAATATAAAGTGCTTTATTCTTTTATTTTATTTTTATTATCATGCTTCTGTATGACAGTGTTAATATTTTTTTATATTAATGAAATTATTTTGAATTTTATAACATGTATCGATTTATCCTAATTTTTTTCAAAATAGTCGTATCGGCTTATCTGTATCATATCCAAATTACGTATGTGTATCCGTGCTTCTTAGCTGACATTGTAATGCTGCTGTTGTTATGATGATAATGTTGGTGATGGTCTACCTAAGAACGTAATGAATTCTATAATTATCAATAATGTAGGAACGACATTACTCGTATTTGAGATCTTGATGAAGTAATATAAATGATTATAGTGTGAGAGTTACGGTAAGTAAAGTTTTGAACCTGATTGATAGATTCATATATGATGTTTTTAGATGAAAGATAAACAATGGATTTGGCTTAGTGCCATAAGGGAAGGAGGTGGACCAGAGGAGAAGCTTCTGTGTAGTGGTTATTGACATGTTTATGATATCTATGTTTCTAATTAAAAATCCAAAATAAATGTGGAGTATCCTGGCATTAGATTTGAGTTGTGATGAGGTGCCATGATCCTTTAGAGATCTTATTTGAAGTGCTTGATGGGCTTAGGTGTGCCAACTTTCTTCTATCCAATTGCTCTTTTTTCTACTTTCAAACATAGGGACCCACTAACTAATCATACTTTTCAAAATGACTCTCGAAGACACTGGGCAAAAATTTGAAGGCCCAAATTTTCAAAATTTAAATTCGGATATCTCCTAGAAACAAACTATTAAACAATCTCTTTTCTTTTACAAGGGGTCCAATGTTATTCATAATTAGGAGAAAAGTAAGTATGGTTGCTATTTTCATCTTTTAATACTTTGTTTTTAAAGGAGAATTGAAATATTGCTTGAATAAAAGGGGCACCAAGGGCCTTTGTTTATTGTTAGTTTTAAATTATTGAGGACTTCTTAAATTTGAAGGGCTTTGAAATGACTAATAATAAGAAGCTAGAAGGCAAGTGTTTGGCCCTTAATAATATATTAATATGCCATATTTTCGTAATCAAACTTATTTTCATTTGTTTTAGAAACACACATTATGTCCTAGTGGTTAAATGTCCTTGTATCTCAATTTGATTGGGCAATGTCATTTTATGATTCTGGTTCTAGTCATAATGGATAATGGTTGTGTATAGAGTAAGATCTGACTATATGGTTATTTCTATGATCTATAGGAATTGTTATTATCAGTTGTATTGTTTCTTTGCTCTTCTTTCATTTAAAATAAAGTTTTAAATAAGGTGCTGGTTTGGATTTCATTATATGGACATTATAATTTGAAAGTCAATGTCAAATTTTAATTTTAACCACACATTTATTAGGATCCACAACTACTACCCACTGATGCACCACAAGTTTCTATCAAATTATAATTTCAATGACTTATAATGAAATCCAAACAAGCTTTAAGCCTTCTTGAAGAAATTTTTTTCTTGGTTCTTTGTATTTTTTTCCTAAGATTCTCAAGCCATTTACACTTTGTCCATCTCTTTTACTGCCCAATTTAGACATTCTGGCATTGCTGACTACTAGAGCATCCTTCCATAGTTACCTTACAGTCTTGAACAATGGCTTTGTAGGTTTTAACACAAGTTCTGTTATTTTACTTCAATAATTGGCCTTTTTCCTGATTTCAGGATATTCGCTGGGTACAATAGCACTCTTAGAATATTTGATGTTCATCGTCCCGGTAGAGATTTTGAGCAGCATTCGACTCTTCAAGGAAACAAGGAAGGGCAATCAGGTAATGTTTTGAGATTGCTAGATTTGATAGAGCGATTTATAATGTCAAGACAGGAAGTATGTTTATATATACATTTGCCGTCCAAGCATTGTCTTTTGGCTTTGCCATGTCGTAAAATATGTTCTGCCAGCTTAATGCATTAGATTTCTGTGACAATTTATGAGTTACATTTTATCTTTGTCCTTCTCAAAATAAGGAAAATTCGTACAATGCCTGATTAGAAGATCCATAGGCACAGAGAAGTTATTGATCAACTGGGTCTGGATTGATAATATACATTGCAGAAATTGGTTACGCTCAAGACATACGCAAATATTCCTACAATTGACACCTTAAGAACAGTTGGTTTATATGTAGAAGTTGGAAGTATATCAACTTTTGTTATAGTGGATAAGTTATGCAGCTAAAAGTATTTTTATATATAGGGTGAGAGTGGCTATCTTTCCAATGATTTGTCTATTGGACCTATTTAGCTGTTGGCAGGTCACATGAGTTTGCTCTTTCTTATGGCCAGGTATTATATCGTCAATCGCTTTTTCCCCCACTCACTCTGGAGTGCTAGCCACAGGTTCCTACAGCCAAACTACTGCAGTATATAGAGAAGATAACATGGAACCATTATATGTCCTACATGGTCAAGAAGGTGGGGTTACACATGTAAGTTGCTGATTGTCAGTCATCCTTCGGGCTGGGCATTTTAGGTTTCCAAGAGTGTCCATTCACGTAAAATATTTACTTTGCAGGTTCAGTTTTCAAAAGATGGCAACTATCTGTATACTGGAGGACGGAAGGTAGAAAATTATATGGCCAGTCTTTTCTTATGTCCATTTTTTGTCAAAATTAAGTACTGCAATTTGCATCAGTTTCTTAATCACAAGTTCTTAGTGTGGGTGTGAGTTTGTGAGAATGATGATAAATCCAAAATTTGAGGTATGAGAGCATTCTAAAGTGTTCATATAGTACAATGAATTCAATCGAAGTACGAAAGTGCTGACTCCTTGTGTCAGCTTTGATTTGAGGACATATAGACCATGAATTTATTTTCATTTATCACCTAAGAAGATAAGGTACTTTTTGTCACATGACCTCTTCACAATTTGATGCAATTTTTTGGCGTGATTATTTTATCTACTCCTTTGTTAGGGCAACTTAACTGACGTCAAAATATTAAATTGTTCTGACATGATTGTCACATACGCATCTTGATGAACCTGCTGATTGTGGGGGACGGAGAAGTTATCTGAGATTCTTAATCTTTGAGGGACTATACTCTTCTTCTTTAGTGCCCTCATTAAACTTTTAATGAATATTGTATACCATCCTCAAATTTTTGAGAAATTTCCTCCTAGATTGCAGAGTTGTGATAGAGAGTTGAATGGGCACAAATGAGTGATCATTCAGTTGTAATGTGCATAGAAAGATATATGGCATTACGCTTATAGGTCCTCGTATTAGTTGCTCATGTGTTGGTTTCAGGTTTAGACATGCATAATAATTGGAATATAAGTATGTTTGTGTATAAATAAATATATGAATAAAATCACCCACTTTAAACTTGTTGCAGGATCCTTATATATTGTGCTGGGATATTCGCAATACTGTTGATATTGTCTACAAGTAAGTTTCATTTATCTAGTTGGATCAGTCATGATAACTTTCATCTATTTGCTTGAATCAGTCATGGTAATCACACAATATATTAAGAATTTCAATTCTTATATCAAATAACAAAATGTGACCACTATCCAAACTAAACTGTGAAGAACATTTTATAATTCCCAATGTATGATCTGGTATCACCTCTTTCATTTATGTGTCACTGCTTACTTTGTGTAGGCCAAATGGCTGCTATCTGTTATAGCTCACTGATTAAAACATGGATGCTGTAACAAAGAAAGCTAATTTTGCACTGAAGAGGACAGCTAGTCATCTCTTTGAATTCTATTTCGATGATGGCTAACCATTTCCATCAAACTTCCTTTGCTTTCCATGTACTATTCAAAACTGAGTCTTTTATTCTTTTGGGTAGTCAGTATTTCCCCTCTCTTGAATGGAATTTCTTAGATATGATAGGTTAAATGATGCAAAAGGAATTTTAAGGTTTCACTTAACTTTATTTCCACCTGTGGTTAGGCTCTACAGATCATCTAAAGATACCAATCAGAGGATACATTTTGATATTGAGCCTCTGGGTCGATACCTTGGAACTGGTGGCCAGGTATGACTAGCCTTCAACTTTTCTTCAGCCATCAGTCTATTTGACTAATATTTAGGATCTTAATTCGTTTTATTTCTTCTGTTAAGGATGGTCTTGTTCACATCTATGACCTTCAAACGGGACAGTGGGTATCAAGCTTTCAAGCTGCGTTAGGTGTCTCTCTCTCTCCACACACACACACACACACAAAAAAGAACATGCAAGAGCTTAAAACATTTATTTTTCTTTCTTATCTTGGTCTATAAGAAACTTGTTCTTAAAGCACATATCTTCCAGCTCACTTTATCTTTGCACTTAATTTGTACTGCAGACACAGTAAATGGTTTTGCTTTCCATCCCTTCCTCCCAGTGGCAGCAACTTCATCAGGACACCGGCGATTTGGAGGTCTTGATGACTTTCAAGAGAAAATGGACCTGAGTGGTATTAATTGTCCTGGATCCTGCATAAATATTATGTTCCATCACCCTGCTTTACCAGGACCGCTTATTGGCAATCAATTGTTTGTTTGTGTGAATTAATTTAATCTTGTGAATATGCCATATTCTTGTGATTTACATGCTGGCTTCTAGACTTTATAAGTGTCAATGTTATTACTTATTCACCGACTGAAACTTAATGCAGAAGTACAAGATTTGGTCTAATAATGAGCCATTTCAAATCTATGGCCCTATGCCCTTATCTGTAATGCTCATGAACATTACTCTGTTTCTCTTGTTTAGGTGATGAAAACTGTGTGACAGCATGGAGCTTCTCCTGTTCTTCAACGTTGGATGCATCATCAATTGTTGAATCTGGAAACTGATTCTTACAGTCATACAGTGAGAACCTCTGGCATGATCTTTGACTTGTATGTTGTCTTAACGAATGCCAATTGTATTGTGACTCTCCAATATTAGTGTTTGAACACTGAATCTATGACTACGAAGTGGAACATAACTAGTTTTGGCATGCATTGTTTTTAGAGTAATGTGGTTCCACATTTTTTGAGCCAGTTAATTGTTATCTACCATTTGTTTTCATGGTTTCTGAGTTATTGTTTTCTGATGTATGGCACACGTTTATAATATGCAATGAGGTCCATTTTCTGTGATTCATGTACAAGGTTACAAGCTGTAGCCATGATTTCTATCCTGGACAAAGTAACTTGCACCTATTACGATATGGTTAGGATCTAGATTAGCATGGAAGTTAAGTGGGATTTGTTTCTTTTGAACTTCAGTTTATTCTTGATAGTGTGTTTCTTATATCTTAACCTTTGTTTTGCTCGAGGAACACGCTTGCCATTTTGCAGAAGTGCTCCTTTTTCATTAATATTGCCAGTTTGGAAAAGTAGTAAGCTTTATTTAACACCTATTATTTCTCAACAATTGCAAAAAACCTAGGACAGAACATGCTCTTTATTCTTACCTTCCATTTTATTAACCTTATCGCTTTCATTTTGTTCCCATCCTTACCTATCTCTTCCTCTCAGAGCTATTTTAGATGATAACGCTGATATACCTTTTTTTCTATTGTTTTCTTAATTTCTATCGTACTCGAATAATCCCAATCCTACTAGCAGAAGAGCAATACAAGATTGGCTATGTGACTGTCAAATGAAATCATTCCTTCTATGTGTCTTGTACAGGTGAAAAGTATATGGTGAATTGTTTGTAAATAAATTTGTTTGATATCTGCCGTCGATCTTATTAAAAATATTTTCATCTTGTAGTTAAAATTTGTTTGAATTCTGCTGTCGATCTTATTAGAAATTGGTAAATTATTATTATTTTTTTTTTCGTTCATCCTATAATTTTCGAATTAAAATATGGATTTAGAAGAACTGCTAATTTTACTGATTGCCATTTGACCATTGGATTTTACTTTGTTTACTTTTCCCAATAAAAAAATAAATAAATAAATAAATATTTGAACAATGCTAGAGGTGCATAATTTTTGTACATAGGCTTTCCCCGACCACCGATTTAACCCTATCTTCACCCTATATGTCCATGTGCCAATTCATTAAAATGTTAGAAATTCTGGTTAAACCCTATATAACTTGGTATGCATACACGTTAAATGTTTAGTTAAGAAATGGGTATCAAACTGAATTGAAGTTTGAATGGATCATTTTATAAAATCGGCAATGAGCCCGAAATAAGTTGATATCAAAGACGAAGGTGACAAGCGTAATTAACCCTTCAGAAAATTGTTCTTAAAGATTAGTAATGTTCACATTTTTTATTTAGCCCTCGTTTGAGTTACATTATTGTGAAAATGAGAATAGAAAATATGATTGTTATGGCCCACACAAGAAATAAAATGTCAAATATGATGGTTTGACGTGATGAATAACGGTCATATTTTTCATTTTTATGAGAAAATAATGAGGTTCAAACAAGGCCTTATTTATTTTATTTTTTTTGATGGCTTTGAAGTTGTATAAGAGCCTATCTACTACGAGAAATTTGCAAGATGGCTCACGCCTCGTGTTTTTTCTTATCTAGTAAGTGCATGTTATATCGAAAGGATGAAAAAACTCAAACATTGCATCTTCACTATGATCCGTTGGGATGATGCATCGAGTGCGTCACTGATAGACCACACACTAAACCTAGGAGTCGAGCGTATTATGCAATTTATATAGCGAACTCTTGTTTCAAGAATGATCATTAGGCCTTCTCGTCCACGCATCTCGTTTCTTTCATTCATTTTTTCCGTGCTTGGTTTGGTCTCTTGCTTGAGTCAGAATAGAAAGTTGAATCATATACAACTGATATTAGAAAGTTGTTACATGGGAGGAGATCTGTTATTGCTTACGTGTTCATTCACCACGCCAAGTTTGGCCAAGTCAATCGAGTGCAATGTCGGAAAATATTAAGCTCCTTTTATAAAACTAGTTTTCATTCAAATTTATTTTTAATTATACATTTTAAGAAATTCATAACTTTTATAAACTATTATTAAAATTCATAAAAAAAATTGATCTTTAACTAAATTAAACAAGGGCTAAATATGTTACATAATAGAAAATAGAATTAACTCTCTATTATAACAATGACGTCCGAACCCTTTAAGTTCTGGGACGCCTCAGTATTCACTATTTAGTGAATGATTCGTGCTAATTGAATGTTAACAAAACATGCATTTCTCGTTTGACTTGCATGCACTACGATATTTCCTTCAAAATTTAGGAATAAAAGCTATATCGAGTGGGGACAATCGTTATATTTATGGGCCGTTATGTTCGAAACAAACTTTTTTTTTTTTTTAATTGCACCTCGCTTAATTCTACTGAAGGTTCTTCAATCTTTGTTCATTGAGTGTCCTCAATCTTCTTTTTATCGCATGCTTGCCTTTAATCTTCTATCAATTAGGACATTCCTAATGATGATTTTGTCCATATAATCTGTTAGGAAAGCTAAAAAGACTTATTTATTTCTCATTTTTCAAATAAGAAAAAAAAGAACAAAAAATGAAGCTCAATGAAATATTACCACTCATATCAAAGTATGACGGTTTGCGTGAGCTTGCAAAGGTAGCTAGATTGTTGATCTCACTTCATAAAATTATTTCAGGTGAATCGTGCAAAAGTTCGCATAACTATTTAAATTGTTCATGATAATAATATAATAAAAGTTTGCCATGTGGCGTAGTGATGATAAAAAAATCTGTCCAGCTCTGAACGGGGTAAAAAAAACCCGTCCTGATAGGTTGGCGGGACGGGGCATGCGTAAAGAGGAAAAAAAATTAAAAATAACTTTATTTTTTAGTAATTCACCCGTTAAAATCTATTTATATTTGTATTTTATTATCTAATTCGAAATTTTGAAAATGTAAAATAATAATAATAATAATAATAATAATGAAAAAAGGCCAGCACCCTAGCCCCAAACCCAACACCCGACCTGCTGCCACCCCCAATGTGGCTATCAAGTTTTTCATGATTCGCAAGTGAAATTCACGCGCTATGTGGTAGTAACAGTTGTCCAAACAATTTTATAACTTAGGGTTTGTTTGATTACATTTATTTTCCATGGAAAATATTAGTTTTTTACCCAAATTCCTATTTGAGGTGTTTGATTGCTATTTTTTTCTATGTAAAATATTTTCCAACTTTTGAAAATATGCCTAATTTTCCTTGTTTTCAAGGAAAACATTTTTCTTAGGTGGAGTTGGTTTTTGTTTTTCACAAAAGAAGTAACACATTTTCTTTTCTAGGTGGATAGTTTCCATACTAATCAAACACACTCTTAATGAAATCAATAGTAAAATATTGAGCACAAAGTCTCTATTAAAAAAAAATATATTATTTATTTTTTAGGAACTTTTAAAGTTTTAATAGTGTTAATGCTTGTTTGGTAGGGATTTTGATAATAAATTTTTGGGACAATTGCAGTAGAGGCCTCAAACTTTTAAAACATTAGCAGACTTTTTCCAGACCTTTAATTTGTTGCAACCATCACCCTAAACCTTTCGAAACGTTGCAACAGTGGCCCGTTTTGACGGTTTTCATCCAAATATCCATCAGTTGACTAAGAAATTGACTTTGACCATATTTTTAATATTTTTGAAAGGGTAAAATAGTAAATTTCCATTTATTACATTAAAATATATTAGAAATTAAATTTAAAAAATAAGAATAAGAAACAAAAAATCATTGTCTTCTTCCCAAATGAGCCACAGCATCCATGAATCTCTTCTGCAGTTGAGGAATCCAAACAAGTCGTGGTCGCTTCAGGGTCCGAGCCGGCTCCTCCGACCCCAATCCACCTCCAACACTGGCTACTCCACCATCACCACCCCCTCCCGACCCAACCAACTTAGCCGAGTTGAATTCCGTGGAAGAGTTAGGTTGAGAAGAGTATGATGTGGTCTGTGGCAGTGGGGGAGTGCTCTGATGGGTATGATTTGGTGGTGGGTTTCGAATATCAAAGGCCAGTGCAAACTCAGGGGTTATAGGGTTTGTGATAAAGGCATAACTCTGTGATGGCAATTCCCCTCCCCCCTCATCTTCCACTTAAATTCTTTTTTGAAATAGGTAGTTTATTGGGAATCAAACTATATGTGTTGATTTGTTTTTGAAGATTTTGCCAAGATAAATACAAAAATTCAAAGTGGAAGCAAAACCATAAATTGAATGAATTTGCAGAGAAATTTTTCAAGAGAAATTTCTTTTTTCTCCCTCTATCAAGAAAGACGGTGGCGGTGAAGGCGGTGGTCGATTATTGAAGTTGGATTTCAGGTGGGGGTAGGGGTGGGGGTGCGTGGGTTGTTGGGAAGAAGACGATGGTTTTTTTTGTTTCTTATTCTATTTTTTAATTTAACTTCTAACATATTTAATGTAATAAATGAAAATTTACTATTTTACTCTTTCAAAAATATTAATAATATGGTAAAAGTCAATTTCTTAGTCAATTAATGGATATTTGGATGAAAACCGTCAAAAAGGCCTCCGCTGCAACGTTTCGAAAGGTTTGGGGTGACGGTTGCAACAAATTAAAGGTTTGGGAAAAGTCTACTAATGTTTTAAAGGTTTGGGGTCTCTGCTGCAATTTTTCCTAGATTTTTTGACCGTTAGAGATAAAGTGAATCCCACTTGTAAGAGAAGAATTAAAAATTGATGATTGAAATAATGAAATAACGGTCAAAAAATTGATTTTAATTGACTTAAAATATAAACCAAACAAGCCCTTAAAATGGGACCACGAAATGTATCCAGCTGAACCGTCCAGTCCAATCCAATCCGATTTGACGACGTAGGAAGGAGCACAAAGCCTTATTTGACATGTCTCCAAATCTTTGGCGGCAAGTCAGGTCAAGGTTGGAAGAAAGTTCCTGCAAGTGTACTATTACATATCACGTTCCTTGCGCCTCCAACTTGTTTGGGGAATTTTCCTTTATTTCCAAATATGTACCTTCATTTATTTTCAATCACAATTCACAAATCAAATTATTGTCCCTCTTTCTACAACTAAATTCAAGGTGATTTAGATGTTATGTTACAGTATATTATATATTTGTGTTAGTGTTTATATGAGCTCATTTAATTTTCTTATTTTTGGTTTTTTAGTTTGTGCTTAAGCTATTTGAAATTGAGGCGAGATAATTCTGAGTTAAGGAAAAGCGTGGAGAAAATGACGGCGTTCCATAGATTTTCTAGAGCTTTTTCCGTGATAATTCATCGCTTACTAAAACGTTGATTGGCTTCATCATTAGGTACTTATTGCTCTATTATTTACTTTGTGCTTTTGGATAATTTTTTTTTCCATTTTTATTTCTCTTGTTTAGAATGTCAAAGTGCTGCTTGATTTGGAATTTTGGTCTATTTTTTTATGTTGTTAGGCTTGTTTTTAGTTTTTAGTAAGGTTAGTATGATTTTCTATGCTAACTGATAAGTAAGTTAATCATGTTTATTGGAGTTCAGGTGTTTGTTTCATGCGATTGAACCAGAGTCTAAATATGTTTGAAGTAGTTATGGTTTGAATACTAGGAAATAGATTTAAGAACTTGTTTGGTCCACATTAATTTTCATTCCATTTTTTTCTCTTATTTTTAATTATACAATCTTCTATAAAATAATATTACACATAAATCGAAATTTTTTCACTCTTTTTCAACCACTCATTTTTCAAAAAAAAATTATTCCAACCTTTTTATTTCCATAAAATAGGGGCCAAACAAGGGCTAAATAACATAGAGCTTCCAGCTCAGGATGATCATGCCCGGTTCTGAGGCCCAAGACTCGAGGGGGCCTAATCTTGGTCCAGAGTTTTTTTCCGAAATCGAAATTTTTTCATTCTTTTTCAACCACTCATTTTTCAAAAAAAATTATTCCAACCTTTTTATTTCCATAAAATAGGGGCCAAACAAGGGCTAAATAACATAGAGCTTCCAGCTCAGGATGATCATGCCCGGTTCTGAGGCCCAAGACTCGAGGGGGCCTAATCTTGGTCCAGAGTTTTTTTCCGAAACAAGGCCAAACGGCCCAGACCCAATTATCCAACAGTAGCCCACAACTCATCAGCCCAAATCCAATTCCCTCATTTTATTTACCCAACCCAACTTCTATGTACACGATCCATCTACCCAAAACCCTTAAAATCTGAAATCCCAAAATTCCCAAATCTGACGCCTCAGTCTCATCTCCTGGACTCCGGTCACTCCGCCAGTCCACAGCCGGCCGCTTCGGACGCCGTTTCGGCTTTGTGAATTGTGAGTGATTATACTCTTAAATAAGTAAAACTCACTGCAATCTGTTTCTTTGTTAATATTTCTTCAATATGTCTACACTCTGCACTTTTCAATCTTGCCTTTCTTACGATCATTTTGTTATGCAACCTGGGACTGTTGAAGATATTTATGTGATTTTTGAAGATAGAATTAAATGAATCCATGTCGTTGTCTTATAGACGAGTTGAAATGTTGAATCCATGTCATTGTCTTATTTTTGTCCAAAAACTTTGTGAAAATAGATATTTATGTGATTGTTGAATCCATGTCGTTATTTTATTTTTGTACAAAAACTTTGTGAAGGTAGATATTTATGTGATTTTTAAATTTTATGTCTTATTTTTGTACAATTTTTTTTTTGAAGATACTACTATATTTTACAATTCTTTCATTCTACATCTGCTTCTAAAAGGACAAAAAGTCGTATTTTAATATATACGTATATTTTTGTTTAATTTTAGTTGATAATAAATATTTAGTCAATTATGCCAATTTCTTAATCTGCACTTCCACATTTGGCACAAGTTCCTTCAATCTATGATTAAAAATCTTTTATTTTATTTAAATTTTTATTTCAGGCTCATGAGTTGTGAGGTGGAATTCTCAAAGGTGAAATTCCACAATTTTCGTCGAAATTCTACTTCTCAAGTAAGCAATGACTTGTCTTAACTTGTTATTGAAAAGATTGAAAATGTTTGAAGCATTATCGGCTTATATAATTGCTGTCTAGTCGGTTTATATGATTGATTATTGTAGGATGAACAATTGCACTTATGCACGTAGTAACTATATTGAAAATTGTAATTGTGGTATGATTGAGATATTTTGTAATTATTTTTCAGGTTAATCATTGAGCATTAGATATGGATTCATACACTATGTCTCCTAAATATGAGTCTGGTGCTCAAGAGAAAAAAAGGAAACGAAATGAAATTGTATTAATTGAAAGTCAAGCAAGGGATATTGGCAAGTATTTCAAAAGCAACAATGTGAATGCGTTGAATGAGGATGAAGTAGAGATTCAACATGCCCATGTTAACGAAGTAGATGATAAGAATGAAGAAGTGAATCAACCTGTCTATATTAATGAAGTAGATGATAAGGAAGAAGAAGTGATGAAACCTGCCCTTGTTAATGAAGTAGATGATAAGGAAGAAGAAGTGATGAAACCTGCCCTTGTTAATGAAGTAGATGATAAGGAAGAAGAAGTGATGAAACCTGCCCTTGTTAATGAAGTAGATGATAAGGAAGAAGATGATTGCTTTTCTCTAAATTTGGATGATCCTGGGAATTGGAAAATCGTTGATCAAAGAACAAGAGATTACCTAGTTAAAATGGGTCCAAAAAGAGTTGACGACATCTCATTTCCGAAAGATTGTACAAATAAACATTTCGATTCTTCACAATATAAGCGATTGCTACCAAATGG